GGCATGGTTGGAGCTCTCCAATTGTTGCCGGGGTTCCGAGCGAGCAGTTCCGAGAACAGCCCTCTGGCAGGCCGGGCAGGCGAGCATGCCGTCGTAGATAAAGCGGACCAAGGGCAAGGGGCTCGGCGCGGCGGCAGCAGCGGCGGCTCGGGTGTCTAAAGGCGAGTGAATAGGCCGGCAGTACATCGGACGTGGCGGCGGGGCGGCGGGGCGGCGGGGTGAGGCGGGGCGCGTAGAGGTGCCCGCTAGGCCGGCAGCGACCCGCAGGCCGCAGGGCTTGCTTGGCTAGCGCAGCGCGCCGTCCCATATCGCGGGCCCAATGTGAAGGTCACGCGAAGCGGCGCGGCGCGCTGTAGGACAGCCTAGAGACAGCCAGAGCCAGCCAGCAGAGCCAAGCGGAGCGCCAGCGCGAGTAAAACAAACAAAAGGAGCACGCCAAGGAGGCCGGCGAGGAGGCCGGGCCGTGGACGCGGACGCGGACGCGAAACGGATGGCGGTAAAAAGCGCCGACCGCGCCGTTCGACGAACGCGAGGACCGCGAGGTGTGTGTCCTGCTATCGGTCGTCGGCGTCATCCTCCTGGCTGCAGCGCCGCAGCGCCCTGGCCCTGGCCGAGCGGCGGCGGCCGGGGCGGATCGCTGAGGACGTCGCTATGCAACTCGAATGCAGGCGTGCGGCCGGGACTGCCTACCGTCACGGCGCCCCGCTGCACCGCTGCACCGGCCGGGCCGCCTTGGCTCTCCGCGCGGCTGGCGCGGCTCGCCACGGCCAGGCTAGACAAGGCCGCCGAGTCCCGAGCGCAGCAGCACGGCGCAGCGTATGCAATGTGCAAGCACGTCTGTTGCACGGGCCAGTCTACCGCGCAGGCGAAGTGCATCGCTGCAGCGCCGCGTCGTCCGGCGGAGCGTCTCTCTCGCACTCGTGGGGCGCTCCGTGTTGGCGCGAGGGAGACGGCGGACAACCTTGTGCGGAATCAGTCTGCAGGCCCCGGCGGCCAGGCGGCGCTCCGCCGGCGACCCGAGTCGGGGCGCGGCTGGGCGCGGCCGGCTGGCATTCCCCACGGATTGTCCTAAACGAATCCCGGAATGAGGCAGCAGGCCGTTCGATGGCGCCGCTGCCACCGGGTTGGGATGTCCTCGGGGATCGCCGGCAGCGACCCTCGGCCGCTCTCGGCCCCATCAAGCACCCGGCCAAGTCAGGGAAGGTGGGCAAAGAGACCGGAGGCCGCAGGCAGGACCCTGGGTGCGCGGCCGTTTCGGATAAGCTAGGCTAGGCACCTTTTCCTCAAACGGCATGCATCAGTGGCGGTTGTCGGAGAGTACCCGCGCGGCCAGGCCGGCCAGGTGACCCTCCCCGCGCCGCTCCGCCAAGCTTCGGTCGGCCCCGCGCCGCCCCAGCGGGCCGCGGGGATGTACCGCGAGGGACTGAACGGGGGACGGGGCTCGGCGGACGGGGATAAAGAGAAAAGAGTGCGAACGATGGCAAGCATTGAGACTCAGCATCTGGGCATAGGGCTGGAGGCGCGAGGGGCGGGAAGGGGGTGGCGAGGGGGAGCGAGAGAGAGGGAGCGAGAGGACCGCGAGGGGCGGCAGCAAGCCGCTACCACTACATCTAGCCGACATTTTTATTAGCCTGCCCGAAGTGGGGGAAAAAGAAAGAGGGAGGGAGAGAAAAAATAAAAGAGTGGGTGACGAGAGAGGGCAAGTGCGAGCAAGGTACGGCTCGGAGGGGAGGGGTTCTCGCCGTTCTCGCGCTCGATGGAGGAGGGGGGAAAGTGAGATTTGAGGGGAGGGCGCACGGCGGCCACGGCGGCCACGGCCTGCGCGTTGTGCCGCGCTTCGCCGGGGCGGAGGACGCTGCAAAGATGTGTGTGTACATATACATGCTGGTGTCGAGGGGCGTGCGCGGCGTGCGTGTGACTGGTACTCATGCACGTTCTAATGGCTGACCAATGGCGCTCCTAGACGCCACAGGGGGAGGGGAAGGGAGCCTTCCCGACCGGGGCCGCACTGCTCCTTCGTTACCTGGGGGCCTGGGTCGGGCCTGGGTCGGGCCTGGGGGTCGCTCCGCGCTAGGCTCGACGGCGTCCTGGAGGCCGGCCCCGGGCCATCCGCGGGGCCCTCGTCCAGGCCGTCGTCCAGGCCGTCGCCTTGCACTGCCTCCCCTCCGCTCACCCTGTAAGCCCCGCGGTGGCTGGCGCTGCTGGGTGGTGGGGACGCCTGCCTGCCTGCCTGCCTCCTTACCCCTTGTTTGGAGCCCTCCTGCTCTGCCGTAGCATGTGCTGCGGCCCTGATTGCCGGAAAAGGGATGTTCATAAACTTGCTTTATATTTTTTCGTCGCAGTATTGATTGTTTCAATTCCCTCTCTCCCTCCGTCCCTCCGTTCTCGGTTCCTCTTTTTCCTTGCTTCTCCGGAGCGCGGCCCCGGCCCGGCGGCCCAGCAGCGCGGCCACGGCGAGGGGGGAAAGTGCTGATTCACAAAGCGTATTTATTCTGCGAAAGGAATTAAAAATTCGGTCCATGCGCAGTTTGCGAAATAAAAAAAATAAAAAACAGAGGGTGCGGATGAAGATCGTAATTATTTTTCTGTGTGTGTGCGTCTGTGTGCGTGCGCCCGCGGGGGTGTGTGGGTGCGTGGAACGAATTGAGAAAGCAGGCACTGGAGGGAGGCTGGGGTGGGATTGTTCATTAGTGCTCGCGGGGTAAGTAGTAGTTTTTTACTCTCCGTGCCGCGCGGGTGGTGCTGCGCTGCGCCGTGCTGCGGAGCGGACCTGCGACGTGCCTCCAGAGCACAGCTCCAGGGTGAGCCTCGGCGTGGGCCAGCAGGCCTTAGTGACGAGAGGGTTGGGCACGCCCAGGGCACGGCCGCCACGCTGGCACGGTCGCGGTGTGTCCGAGCGAGACAAGGACGAGGCGGCCGTGACGCGCTGAGCGCGCTGACGAGTGTGACGGAGCGCGGGAGGTCGCGTAGACGGAGAAGTCCAGCTCCACCACGCCGCCGCGGCCCGCCCCGGCCAGGCCCGGCCGGGGGCTCCGTTCCTCTCCACTCCGACCCACCCGAAGCGCGCGCGAGGGAGCGAGCGCGCGCGAGTGAGAGAGAGCGAGCGTTCTTTCTTCCCCTTTTTTAGTTCTGAAATATTACGTCAGAGGTCTCGCACAACAGACCTATGCAAAAATGTGGCTCTGTTTCCCAGTCGTATTCAGTTGAGTGTAGCGTGTGTGTCTCGCAGCCGCGCGCTGCTGCCTGCCGCCGTCGCCGCCTCGCGTCGCGTCGCGCAGCACAGCGTCGCGCAGCACAGCGTCCGCGCTCCGCGAGGCTCGGCGCCGGCTCGGCCCGGTCCGTTTGGCAACAAGAGTCCATCGTGATGTGCGCTGTCTAGGCAGGTACTACTCGTGTGTGACGTGTGCCCTTGTCCTTCCCCGGCCGCGTGGCCACGGCGCAGGCGTCGGCTAGCGTCGGCGTGCTGGTGTCCTCAGGACTCGTTCCCCTCCGAGGTCCGAGGCACGCCGCCACCGCCTCGCCTAGTGCCGCGAGTCGTCCCCGTCGTCCCCGTCGTCCGCCCGCGCGGCCCGGCCCGCCAAGTCCGCCGCGAGCCGAAAAATCTGAGCCTCAGCCGAGAGCCCGGCAGCCCGGCCCGAGAGGGCTGCCTGCCCCGCGCCGCCCCGCGTCGTCCCGCGCCGCCCCGCGCTGTCCTTCCCTCCCCGCGTCCTGCGCGCTGCCCCACCCCACCCTTCCCCGCCGCGCGCCGCCCCCCGCCCTGGCGGCAGCAGGCTTTCCCCCCACCATCCCGGTCGCCGCGCCGGGCCGCGCCGGGCCGCGCCGGCCTGGCATTCGCAATGTATACGCCGCCGTTTTCATTTCGCAGATAATGAACGTGCGTAGAAAAAATGCTAGGACTTTAAAATTGTGCCGGCCGTCGTCGAATAAGCACGTCAGTCGTGCTCCGTTCGGAATCGGAGAGGTAATGGCGTGCCGCCCCGCGCCCGCCCAGAGGCCCAGAGGCCTAGAGGCCCGCGCTAGCCGCTAGCTAGCGGAGCAAGCGGAGCCAGGACTTGGTGTGATTCCCTCTGCGCTCTTGCTGCGCGTGCCGCGCCGTGCGCCGTGCGCTCCGCGGCCTGGCTCGCGCGTCGCGCAGCCCGCGCAGCCCGCGCTTGGCGCTCACGGCCGTGCCGGGCACTCGGCGCCCTGGCCTGCCCCAAGAGACTTGGGCAAGTTACCGAGTCGCAAGGTACCGCCCGGGCCGTCTCCGTGTCATGTGCTGTGCTGTGATGTGTGACAACGTGCCGTGCTTGCCGTGCTCGGCGTGACACGACAACAGAGTCAGTGTGGAGTCGAGTCGTCAAGACGTGTTGCTGTGCTGGTGTCAAGTGAAGTGTTGTTCAAGACAGTGCTAGTGCAGCTAGTGCCGTGCGCCCTGTCAGTGTGCCTTGCGCGCTGGGCCGCGCTGTGGATCGCGGACCGCGAGTCGCGTCGCGGAGGCCCGCCGGCTTGGCTCCGGGGAGGGCAGCCTGGCAGCGCCGCGTAGCGCCGCGCTCCGGGCCCTCGTGCAAGTGCGTGGGGGCGATTTTTACGCGACGCCATTTTTTGGCCGATCTTTTTGGGGCGGCGCTGGCTCGGCGCGCTGCTCGGCGCGCTGGTCCCTGGTCCGGACGCTGCCGGGAAATGACAGTGCAGTGCAGCGGTCGGAGCGAGGGCTGCGTGCTTCGGGAGCACGGTTTGATTTTAGCGCCGTTTTAGTGAGTTAATTGCGGTTCCGCTGTCGCTGCGCTTTGAGCGGTAATTTTTGAACGCGCGACGCGAGGGTCCTGGTGTTTGCTATGTGCGGCGGCCAGGCGCCGTGTGAGCCGGTCCTCAGCCGGGCCAAGAGCGGCTTTGGCGAGCTGCTGTCGCGCTCGCGATGAGAGGAAACGTGAGTGATCGGCCGTGCCGTGTTCTGTTCGTTCTGTTCCGTGGGGTTGTGGAGCCTGACGGGCGCCTCGACGTCGTCCGGCCATCCGGCCATCCGGCCCGGCATCAGCCTCAGTGGCAGCCTCGCCTCAGTGATGGCTTTTGTGTCAAACGTTATTTGCGATGATTTGTCGCGGGCCGTGGCGCTTGGAACCGCGCTTTGGGACGCTTTACCTGACCGCTGTCAAGCGCCGCGCCGGGCGTCGTCCTTTCCGTTGGCCGCGGAGGCGGTCCTGGGTCCTGGGTCCTTGCCCGGGCCGCGCTCTGCAGGGGAGAGAGCGAAAGTGGCCGTCGCGAGGTTATGGGCCGAGGCCGGGCCTCTGCTTCGGGGCGCATCTGTCGCGATGTCGTTCAGTTTTCGACTCGAGAGGTACAAAACGGACGTTTGCTTAGGACTACTCGCAACTCGCCCCCTTAATGTCTACGCACCGAGTGTCAGCTTCACTTCCTTGACACCACCACTGCTCATGCAGCTCCACACTGGTCTATGTTCGCCCCCTTTATTTGGGTGGGAGATTCCCATTGAAAATCTGTAATTTGTATATTAATTTTCTCTGGAAAATTTCGTGTAGATGTCAAAATTTAGCCAAAATGGTTAACCTGTGCTATAAGTCTTATTTAGCTTTGTTCGACAGTCTTCCTGAAAGTCTTCCAACGTTGTTTTTAAATCCGTGCATATTTGCTTTTGGAATACTTTCAATTCCTCCTCTTTGTTATAATGTGATTGCCTTCAATGTAAGGGACTTGGACCTCAAAAATGTTGACTTGTCAGTGTTTTAATTTGTATATTTACGCTTGTTTCAGAGGGCTGGGGACAGAGGATTTAGAAAAAAATGGCGGAGAGCCAGCATTTTTGTCTACGCTGGAACAACTACCAGAGTAGCATCACATCAGCCTTTGAAAACCTTCGAGATGATGAAGATTTTGTGGATGTGACAATTGCTTGTGATGGCAAAAGTCTGAAGGCCCACCGAGTAGTCCTATCTGCATGCAGTCCATACTTCAGGGAACTGCTCAAGGTGCTTAGCTTGCCTATATATTTTAAAATTATTTTGTCTGGTCACAACTTAAATTTTGTTATGTCATCCCCTTTTCTTCATTTTTATTTTTATTTGTATCTGCAGAGTACACCATGTAAGCATCCCGTGATTGTGCTGCAAGATGTGGCCTTTGCGGATCTGGATGCACTTGTGGAATTCATCTACCACGGCGAGGTGAATGTACACCAGCGCAACCTCACCTCGTTTCTCAAGACAGCTGAAGTCCTAAGAGTTAGTGGACTCACTCAGCAAACTGATGGGCGTGAGGATGTAAGATATTGTTAATTTTATAATCTCTGGTTGTTCATTCAAGTTGAAGAACAGTGTTCCTAATTTGATTGTATTTTATGCACATGTAGAGTCCACTTTCGCAACTGGCATCCAATGGACGAGGCCTTGGAGGGGAACAGCTCTTCAACTTATCTCCTGCAGGACGTTCACCACCCACTGCAACATCACCTCTTCCCACACCACCACCTCCAACTAATGGGAGTAACCCAGCCACAAGTCCTACTAGTGTGCCCTCCAGTGCAACTGTCAACCAGTTGTTGAGACGTGCAGTAGCTGTAGCAGAAGCCTCAAAGAGGTTACAACGCAATAGCATTCCAACACCTCCCTTGGGAACTGATCAGGTATGTTAATTAAAATTATTATCCATGTTTTTCTGACTTTTTGCAACATTGTAACATTTTTACTAAAGAATAATATTTTGACACCTTCCTTTTTCTACCTCAGAACGATGTAGATCACCCTAATGCAAAACGCCCAAGATCCATTAACAATAACAGTGAGAATGGTCCCATCACAAATAGTCATTTGGATAGGGAATGGGAACGAGAGCAGAGAGATAGGGAAAGAGACAGGGAATGGGACCGAGATGACCGCCTTTGTGAGACTGATATCAACGCAAATCCTGCTGATTTGACAAACCACCAGATGACTCCAACAGATTTCTCTGCAAAAAACTCTTACAGGTATTTATTGATCTTATTCTTTCTTTGATTAGTACATTTTCCATCAAGCCACTACATCCATCCTTTGTTCTTGTTTTGTTTTTTTTTGTAGGAAAATTGAAGTGAAGAGAGAAGACCGCGAGCGAGACAGAGACAATGAGCAGTCGAGATCACCATCATCGCGCCTCATGGATAAGGTGAAGGTGGAGCCTACGGATATGTTGCCCGGCGCAACTGAAAACAGCTCGGATTCCGTCGAGGCTTACCATGAACGCCACCATAGGGTAGGCCAGGACTGTGTCCTTTGCCTTATTTCTCACAGTGGAACCTATACTCAGTCCTCTCCACATCCCTGGATAAAGGGACAAAAAATATATTTACAGTTTGTATAATCTGGCTTGTTAAAGTCATTTTCTTGATGAGATGCTAACAGTTCAATTCAATTTTGTGGTTTCACTGTGGCTTCTATATCCTCACTATTACCTTGGCTACTGGGCATCATCTTACTTACCTGTTTTCATGTATACCTCTCATTTTCTCTCGATGCCCAATTTCTTTCCCTCACCTTTTCCAATTCTTTTTGTCTTCTGGAAGGTGCAGTGTACTACTTCTATCGACTTTGGCTTCAGGATTACCATAACTTATTTTATTTTATTTTTTGGGCATCCTCATTGAGCAGTTTACTAGCTTGACCTTAATCATCTCCTGTCATCCATCTACACTTAATGCTTGTGATGTGGTTAGCTTCCCACCTTTCCTACTCTCTCCTATCCTGCATACAACGGACACAGTCCATACGGACCATTAATGAAAAGAGCCTTTATTAGGGTAAAAATATTACATTGTTTTTGTTTTTTTCAAATGTTATGGTGAAGATACAAAATAATTTTCAGGCGTCTTCAATTTTTTTTGTTATATCTCTGGTTTATTACGTTAATTTGCATCGGAAGCATCATCTTTCATGTGCAGGGACCCCCTTCAACGTCTTCAACGGGTGAACATGAAGATCTGGACAGCAGCGTGCAGAGCCACCACAATCCTGCCTTCCTTTCTGACAGCAAGCTGTTTGCTGCAGCCAGTGGTTCCTTCAATTTCAGCATGGCTGCTCTTGCTGCTGATTCAGCTTTGGCTGGTATGTCTTATTTATTACCTTTTTATTTTTGTCCTGCCTTTTACCAACTTCAATTGTGAGTCTAAGAATTTTGTGTGGTTCTCAGGCATGAATCTTCAAGCTAATGCAGATGGACTAGCAGGCACTTCAACCCAAGGTAAGCACTCATCTGATTTAGTTGAGACTAGAATGCTTTAATTTATATCCCCTTTACTCGGCAAATTCAAGCAATGCTTAATTCAATCTGTTGTCAAATACACAATCTCATCATAGTTGTTGCCTTTTCATTCAACTTAGCATGCAAATCATACAATTTATTTCTGTTTGGAGTTGGCTGATCCTCACTGATTTTTGACCTCAGTGCACTGCACACAATGTTCATTATCTTTTAAGAAAAGAAAGAGTTTCTTCAAGTGACATTTCACATCCATAATTGGCCTTTTTTTTCTTTTGTTGAGAAGTTAATTACTAAAGTGAACATATTTCCTGGTAGATCCGTGTCAGCCTCCTCCAAACCAAAATATACATAAAAAAATAAATAATAAATGCTACTTCATTTGTTTATGCAACATCTACTTTTTACTCCATATATTTATGCTACATCTACTTTCAATGCATAATTTTTTCCTCTAAATATAAAAGAAACCTTGAATTAAATATTAGGATGCTGTAATGTTTACTCTGAGTTTAACTAGACACTTGACTGTGCCTCACTATTGTTAGATGGGGGTTCATCATCCATTAATGTAGCATGCTTTGGGAATAACTTGTGTGACAGTGTGGAAGTCCAGCCAGAGACCATACAAGGCAGGTAGGTGGAGAGGAGACCTGCCCTAGCGCCTTGCGCCTTCACCATTTAAATACGCCAACTCTACAGCATAGGTCATTGCTCACCTTAAGTTCTTTCCTGTGAACCAATTCATTTTCAGACTACATACCTTTTGCTACAACTTTTCTCTTAAAAGAAAAAAAAAACATGCATTGTAAACCTGTAGTAGCTAGCATCCTACTCCCCTTTTTCCGATATTATCAAATAGTGTTTAGGTCTCACATGGTTGGATGGAAAGCATTATGGTGAACGAAGGAGGACATAAGACCTACTGTCAAAATTAAACCTGTGTGTCTATGTTATATCAAATCTGAAAATGTATAAGTGTTGTGTATAGTGTAGACTGACACTGGGCATAATTTTGCACCACAAATGTCCAAGTTAGATAGGCATTCATAATTTTCTTCTGGCATACCTAAATGTTCTAATGGAATTGATTTTCTTGGTGACGGTAATGTGGTGTTGGTGGCAGTGGTGTTGGATTGACTAAGTAACCCTCACATCATCATCTGTGTCGGTGTGAAAATAATGTGATTATCAAACTTTGTATGTATCTTGCATGCATTTATCCTTAAGTGTTAATGTGCTATCATAATTTTTTCTGAATTGTTTGATGGTATGTTGAAATCTGTCCATCATTCATTTAACAAAAGTGAATGTTTGGTGGATTTATTAAGTTCGATGCTTGTAATGCGTTTGTGTGGAAGGGGCTTTATTAAATCATAGTTTAAAATTATTTCAATTTTCAAATTTACTTATTTTACTGACATTGTTGAATGTTGGGATTTAAGTGTTTTCCAAGCCTTTTGTTGAATCTTTATTATTATTTTTTAATAAGTTGGAACTTTGCCACTTTGTGTAGATTTTAACAAAATTTTGGCTCTGTAGAATCAGAAACTTTTTATTCCTTCTATGGAGTGTATTTCACCTTTCAATTTGAAAACAATATTAAATTCTAGAAAAAGTTTGAAAAGTAAAGTTTCAACATTAAGGCTCAAAATGTATTTTAAATTATGGTTATGTACAGCCCCTTCCTTTGTGTCTCGTGTTGCAGAGCACGAAGGGAGGGGCTGTTGGGGGGACACGAGAGACGCTAAGGCTGGATCCACGCCGTTCTGCCCCATCTGCCGCAAGTCCTTCTCCAGAGCCTGGTCTTTGCATCGGCACATGTCGGACACACACTTCTACGTACCTCAGAGCTTTGAGTGTGAGGTTTGTGGCCGCATGTACCGGTCTCGCAACTCCCTTGTGAGCCACAAGTCGCAGTACCATGGTGGTCTCGCAGGCATTCGAGCTATGGAAGAAGAGAGATCATTGAATAATAACCTGCCAACTTCAAGCGACCATATGTCGGGTGTTAGTGATGCGATGGTGGAGCTTGCACGCAAGCACAAGCAGCTAAAGATGTGGGAAAATGAAGGCATTAAGTCGGAGCAGCAATAAAAATTTCAAAAGAGAGAAATTAAATAAAAATGTTGTTAGGTCTGAATTGTTTCAATCACTTCAAGTGCCTTGTTTAATTCCTGCTTCTGTATTTGGTTGTGATGACTGAGGAGTGGTATTAGCACAGTTCAGTAACTTTTTTTTTATTATCACAAGTTTAAGTATACATTTGGTTTTGGACTCCCTGTGACATGTTTCTGTTTTACAACATTATGCCAACACATTTTGTTGTTGGCCTGTGTGCATAGTAAAACATTTATCAGAGGTAATTTGAGCTTGTTTTTATTAGCTACAAAATTGGATTTTGTAGTGTCAGCGATATTTGGAGTAATCGTGCATAGGATACCTAATCTGATTTCGTGGTCTATTTCGAATACTGTTTTTTTTTACCCAATCAGTTTGAATCTCAAAATTTTTCTCTAGGTAAGTTGACTTGAAACTGTGTCAGAAGTGCTTATAACTGAGAATGAGTTAAGTAAAGGTTTGGTGGAAATTAGAGGGTTTTATGTGTTTTTGGATCAGAAAATCTCAGTATGATAAGATTATTTTTTTCTCTTAAAATCTCTTTTTTCCTCAGATGGTTTTTCTTTTAAATCATGTGTTGTGTTTTCTAGCAATACAATTGTGCTCCTTACTAAAAGTTCAATGGAATAGGATGTTATGTAGTGCTGTAGCTCTCCATTCCAACTATCTTTTGATTTCTCAGAACAAATGTTAACATTAATCATTATTGTAGTTCTTTCTTAGGGTCTTAGAAACAAAGGTTTCATAATTGAGAGTTAGATCAGATATATTCAAAGTGTACATTTGTTATTTTTGTTACATTTTTGTTATTCCATAGAAAAACAACTTTGTCCGTCCACAGCTTCTGGTTAGTAAGAATGTTACAATCTCAGGTTCATAGTTTATTGGTTTGTTGTATTGATGTATTGTGTTAGAAAGACTGAATGACTGTCTGAAGTTGGAGCAGTACATGCTCATGCTTAAGTTCACAAAATCTTGACCATACTGCACTTTAGGTCTGGTTTGATTTCTCAAACGGGGTGTATAGATTTCATTCTATTTAAGATAATTTTAATGCCAGTTTTTTCTTGTTTTCTTCATTTAATTTCAAGTAGCTGATACCCCATCCAAGTGTCAGTGGAAAAATTGTGGTAATAATTTCGTTACCTCAGCTCTGCCAAAAAGTTCATTGCTTCCTAACAATGTTTGATAGTACATTTTTAAAATGTAGATGCTTCATTTATGTTCATGCATTGGATCAAAATTACACATTGAAAACAAACCAATTTGGAGAATCTTGTCTTCTCTTAAAGTTTCTCTTAGTCTAATGTTAACCTGTTCTCAAAAGAGGTAAACTCTTGGTGTGTGGATTTTACAAAGTAGTTTGATACGTACAAAGCAAAGTATCGATTACATAGTAGATTTTGATGGTGATTGCTTTTTGATGCCTTCTCATCTCTTAACTTCATTATTTTTTCTCTGGCTGTAAGGCATTATTGAATTTAGGTTGTTGCTAATGTATTTTTATTTTGCAAGAATGTTTCTTTTACGGGTATTGCATTTTGCTAGAGCAAGTGCTATAAAGAAATTGAAACACAGGAAACTGTGTAAGTTGAAAGTTCAATACTTTCTTCAAAGGAGAGGATCAAGGCTTCTATACAATCTTTTATTTATAGTTTAGTGTAGGTCTCATTTCTGTCTTACCCTCAAGGTGTGATCACCTTTTTCATTTACTTCATTTGTATTCACCATTGTATACTATTTTGAAGACTAAATCATTGCTTTTCGTGCAAATTCTTGTTCAAGCGTTTGATCATATATCTTATTAAGAATTCTCTACTTCTCAATGGCTCTAAGCTGGCATTTTTATTTTCTTAAATTTCTTGTTGAGACATAATAAGGTGAAGGTAATGATTTTTTTTAACAAAGTTTATTATTGTACATTTTTTAATTACAACTTTTTCCATTCAAAGTACTATCCTTCAAGCCTCCAAGGAATAGCTTATTGTTTGTGGTGACCAAATACTTAATTTTAAGTATTTTTTGTGTCATCCCTCTAGTCATTTCTGATTTGCCCAAATGATTGCTGATGCCAAATTTTGTCTAAATGAGTTATTGTAGAAGGAAGTTAACAAACTGTAAATTTAACCAAATATGATTTTATCTGCTATAACAGTTCTTTATTGCATGAAATTTAGGCATATGATTTGTCTGCTTATGATTTAATATGGTCAAAGGTTAACCTTAGAACATTGCTCATACTTTTAGTAGGTTAAAGAGTGGCAGCCAATCAGTTTACATACTGAAGCATGGGTGTCTCTGTATTTAGGTGTCTGAGCAATACCGGTACTTTTATACTTGTTTGCAACATTTTCAGAATGTTCAGTTCCTTAACTCTTCCAAATTAAGTCGAGTTTTGCTTTGACCACAAAGTTCGACTGATACCTTCTTCATAGAAATGTGGAGTTCTTTTTCTCTTGGTTACTAGATTACTAGATACAAAATTCGAGTTGTGGTGAAAAATGAAGAAAGAACCTCAAAGACATTCCAAGTTGATTGCTGTCTTATCATGAAGGGCTCTGTTAATCACACAGGGTTCAAATGTTACTAGCCTTATTGTCTGTGCTTTTTTCCATCATTTGTCTTGTGATAGAATTTACTGTGAATGCTTTAAATATATGTCTTATCAGGTTGTGTATTAATTTATTATTACAGTGTCTACTATTATGTCGATTATTATGACTATTCTATTTTTATTTTATGTCTTATTATTATTTTTATTATTACTGCTATCCTCATGATAATTCTCTATTTGTATGGTTTATAAAGGGGTTTCTTTTACTTGGTGGAAGTAGTTAAAGTTTTGTTTTCTGGGCTCTAGCCTTCAAGTAATACACCAGAACTTTTGATCTAAGGCTTACACGAGTATATCAATTCACAATATATATCAAAGTTTTTGATCATGTCTTGTTAATTGGCATGCCAGACACTTTCTCTCAACAAGGAAGTGCAATGTTTATGTTTGTTTGATTTTTTTTTCTGTGCATGGCGGATAGATTTGTATACTTGGAAAGCTTTTCTGTATTTTACCTTTGGTCTCATGTGACCTTATTAATTTAACTGTTCCTCTCAAAATATGGATTTATCAGTATCAATCGAAACCTTCTAATTTCACCGCAGGTTGTTAATAATGTACTATTTTGGTAATATTTTTGGTAACTAGTGCTTTCCAAGTATTGTGATTTGAACTCTTGGTTGTGTTTGAGGAGAGTTACATTTGTTTGAGATTTGAGTTGGTGGGAATATGTGCCTGTTGATTGTTTGAATAAAACATTGTATGTTGATAATGCTATTATATAATAATGTTCTTGGTGAATTATGTTTGGTTCATGTCACCTTTTTCCTCTAGACTTATTGTAGGAAAGAACATGTTGCCAATAGTGTTTCACCTTCATCATTGACTGACTGAAGTCTATCAAAGTACTTGCTCATCTCCCTTCTTGCTCCATTTGAATCTGCTGAGGAGTAGGAAGCTTAGGTCCAACACTGTTCTGTCACTAAAAATCCATGTATCATGACATTGTGCTAACCCAACTAACTGAGAGGTGTTGGTGTTCAATACTCTGCATCACCTAGGTTTGAGATATTTTACCTTAGCATTGTTTGAGAGAATAACTACTACACAAGCAGTTTTTATCCCTCCATCTTTTCCAATTTGGATGTTGTTTGAATGTTGTTTTTTATCTGTCCACTGATAAAACTGTTCAAATGCTTTCAGACACTGATAACAATAAGCCCAAACCTCCCCAAAAAAGTCCTGAATAACAGTATAAGTAATTTTACAGTAATTTTTTTCATACGTTCCAACTATTTTTATGTTTTGTAATTATGAGCTGTGACTATCGACTGCTGTTTATGATGTAGTTTTGGTTTGAAACATGTTAGGTACCTAAAGAGCTTTTAAAGTCCAAGTCCTTTTGATGTTGAGCTTTTGGGTTTTCCAATGGCAATCCTTAGGCTCTTTTGAGTATTCACCAAACTTACACACAATCTTTTGTTTTGATTTTTCATGTCCCACACCGTTAAATCATTTCAACAGTTTTACTAACTCATAAAAATTTGTCTTGGTTTCTTTGCACACACCAATTTGCTACTGAGTGAAATTCTTTTTTTTTTTTTTTTTTTTTTTTTGCTTAATGCATGCAAAGAACATAATCGAACGGAACCATTCTCTGAGTGCCTCTTCAGTGACTTTGCTACTACTCTAAGAACATTTATACACATTACAATATCCATCTTATCCTCCAGTGTTATCATTTTAATTTTCCTTAAACATTTCTTTTGGCTTATTTTTAATTTATTTTGTTTTAATTGGCTTGGTAGGAATGTAGCTTTGCCATAAGAAAAAAGCGGGTGTTACTTTTTTATTTATTTTTGTTTAAATTTTGTTTATATATTATTTGAATGATTCAAGGGTGAAGTGACATCACTTTGGTTTGACATGTTCTGGTCTTTTAATTCAAGTATACAGCTGGATCTGGCCTGGACGTTCCACACTAGAGAAAGGACTCACGTCCAGAATCACACAAGTCTTATTTAGCATATTCTTTTCTTGCCAGATAGGCTAGGAAGCCTATCTCCCCAAAAGCTGATGCTGTGTGCTTACACTGTGTCAGTAGAAAGTACAGATTTTCTTGTCTGTCAAGAGAAAGTTCAATGTTTTAATATATGAAACACTTCTGTTTATGGTTTCAGTTAGGTACAATGGGGTCTCAATTATTCTCACTCCTGAAATCTTAAAACATTTTGAACTGTCTTAAGTCTTACCACTGCCTGATTTGCCAAATATTTTCTTGAAAGTAAAGTAGTTTTAAGGTGGGCTTGAACTGAAAACCCAATAAGCATGTTGCAAGATGCCTTTTGCATAGAGTGTCTGGTTATACCTCAGGAGGTAAGATGCCCTTTCCTTTTCACTTCACCCTCGAATTAATGTTTTTTCTTTTTTTTTCTTTGTTTTTTATCTTACAGGAACGGGGGGTTTGAAGAAAGTGTTCACGTGCCAGCGCTGCGGCAAAGTGCTGTGTTCCAAAGCTAGTCTCAAGCGTCACATTGCGGACAAGCATGCACAGAGGCAGGAAGAGTATCGCTGCGTGGTGTGCGAGCGAGTTTACTGCTCGCGCAATTCACTTATGACCCACATATACACTTACCATAAATCTCGACCAGGAACCACTGAACTCGATCTCAAGTATTACTGAGATACACTGCACAAACACCGTCGACGACAATTAGTTCCAAACAACTTTTCTCGTTTTAATGCCTTTCCAATTCCCCATGTCTTCCAGTATCCCCCTTTTTCTTCCTGAGGAACTGTATGGGCTCCATAGGTCACCTTCCTCTTTAATTCTGATTGTTTTCTCTTTCTCATGCTTTGTTTATCCTCCACAATTTAGTTAATAACTTTAAAGACTTCGTAGAACACTAAGTTCTCAATGATCAAAAATAGACTGTTTTAGGTATATTTCTTAGAAAGATTTGTAATTTTAGATTCTAAAGTATTTTATGAATTGCCTAAATCTTACATTCATTAATCAAGGAAAAATATTAGACCATGTTCTTATTTTGTTTTCAGTCCGCTTGCGAGAGTCTCTGTCATCTCTTTATCCCTTTATTCTTACTTGTGATCTATTTTTCTGTTGGGTCTTAACATTACGAAAAAAAATAAGAACCACGCTCTTTTTTCGTTCATTTGCCATTAATTGAGAACATTGTCGCAGGTGTTTGTGCCTCAGACATCATGCACTGATAAGCACAGGCCATTACACACATCATCATCATTACAACTACAGTTTATTGCAACATGTGACAGCAGGACAATCCCCAACAAAAAGGCGCTCCATGGCGCAGGTACTGGGTTAGTTGACTTTAATTTCTCTAAAAATTTATCCTATTTTCCCCTATGTCCTGTTCTGGTGGTTTTGGTAGTGGCTTTTTCTCATTCAGGCAAGACCTAATTTGTACATCTAATAGCCTCTCTCCCATGTAAGTCACACATACTGCAGCATGTGTGGTTTTACAGCAAAACTTTGGTAAATGGCTTTTGAAGGGTGTCCTACAGCTTGTGTGCATGTTTCAATGTTCATTGGTTAATCATATTTTAAATGGTGAGGAAGAGTTTACACTGTCTTTTTTCTTCTTCTGTGCTGGTGCAAGCTCTGTTGCAAATATTTATCCTTTATGGTTCTCATGGTTGAACTAGATGAATGGAATTTGGTCATGGTCAAAATGTCTGCCTTCGTACCACCAACATGCATTTCATTCCGTTTGTAAATTTGGAAGGGTAGAATATCTTAGACAATTTTGAGGTTGAAGAGTAATCTAGATTGCATGCTTGTTACTTTCTCACTGTCACATAAACAAACATACAGATGTCACTATATTTTATAATAACTTTTATTAGTTGCAATAATTATTCTGCTCTTTATGCATTTTTTCTGTTCTCGAGTTAGTGTTTCTGTAAGGAGGAAATTCTGTTCCTTAAGCTAGTTCTTTTTCTTTTTGTTTGTGTTCGTTAGACTTCTGATCCAAATGAGGCAAAGTTAGGAAAATTATCGAGATTTAACTAACACACTTCTTAAAATACAAATTAAATTAAGTTTCCTTTGCTTGCATGACATTCTGGCAAACTTTTAAGATTGCTCTAAGGGATGTAGCTCTGGTCTGGGCTTTCTTTTCTATGAGAACAGGCAATGAAATGTTATCCTTTTGGTGAGAGCAAACCTTTTTTTTCAGTTGTTTCTTTTTTTTTCATTTTTGAGAGGGTGATGGCTTGCATGTTTTATGTGGAGGGAGAGGCATTTCTTTGTTATTTTTAAAATTGCCTAGTCTAACAATGATTTGGAAATTCCACATTGTCCTCTTTGACCCATCTTTTCTGAACAAGAAGCTTCGTATTATATTTGCTCAGAGTTAACAAAGCAAAAAAAAAAGTCTTGTTTGTTGTAAAAGTAGCTTATCTCTCAAATACTCAAATAGAAATGTTAAATTTGAATGTTTTTAATTCAATACATATAAGTGTTAATTGCAGTAATTGCTTTCATTCAAGGTAAACTTTATGCAACATATTGCAGATACTTAATTTTCTTTTTGTCCCTTTGCCTGTTGTCTGTTGAAGGGTGTGCAAAGCTTCATTCGTCTATGCTTTCTCTTGATTATCAAATTAATACCTGTGAGAAAAATTAACTAACAGCAGAGTAGGCCAATTCCTTGGTATGCTTTTTGTAATAATAACTGAAAATGAAGGGATTTAATTTCTATAATGTTGCTATTGGAAATTTATCTGGTTTTCTACGGTTAGTAGAATTTCATTTAACTTCCAACTTTTCCAATGCTGTCTGTGGCTTTACTTCCTTATAATAGGCCGGTTGGGAATGGAATGGTGTAGTTCTTTCTGGAATTCTCTTTGATCCTTTTTCTGTAAAATCTTCGAAATTAATATTTTCATACTGTACTTCATGCTTGAATTGAAAAACTAATCCTGAATTTTTGTACCTAGAATGATTCCATACAATCTAAATCAATTTGCTCTGCATTTTTGTCGCAGGTATGAATAATTGGACATATGGCGTTCCTCCACCAATGACGGGTGGTATCAATGATCCTCAAGAGTGTCCATTCTGCCGACGTACCTTCTCGTGCTACTACAGTCTCAAACGGCACTTCCAGGACAAACATGAGCGGTCTGACACCTTGTACAAGTGTGAATTTTGTCAAAGAAGTTACCGCACGAAAAACAGTCTTACGACGCACAAATCATTACAGCACCGTGGAAGTGCTGGTATGTTAAAGCGTCTCATGAAGAGTGTCGCTGTCCCTGGTGCTCTGGGACAACCTCAGCCACAACCATAGATGCTTCGTCAAACTACTTACCAAGAAAGAAATTGACAACAGAAACAGTTTTGTTGTGTGAATGATGTGTGGTGGCTTGATCAGCTATCAGTCGCTACTTGTATGAAGATATGAAGAAATCTGTTGAAGATTGGCAGATTGTTTGGTGGAGACTTTTATGTGTGCAGTTCTGAAAGAATTTTGTTAGCTGGAACATTTAATGAACCTCTAAATGTGAATGTGTTGTTGATGGGAACAAGAATTCTGGGTTACTTAAGAATAGCTGTGTTAACATTGTTACGGGACGACATATTCTGTCCAGTTCAGTGTATAGATAAACAAACCTTCCATTTTTAATTAATGTATTTGATATTTTTTGAATCATGACACAGGCAGGCACTCTGCAGCCAGCACCAGCAGCAACTATGAAAGATCATATTACAATTGTTACAGATTTATATTGCCATACTTCAACTTTCCAAAATGATGTAGCATCACTTCACTTCACAATTGATACCGCTGATATCATAGGAAAGTGGACGGTCTTCTTTTTCCTAACTGTGATGTGTTGTTTTTACCATATCTATTTTTTTTTGGAATCGTTCATATCCGTCTAGAAGTGTATGGTTTGGGTTTCAGTTAAATAGAATGTAACAGCGGTGCCTCATATTTAAGTTTGTTTTGTAATAAACACAAGGGCACTGTGTGTACTTGTTAGCTCTCCTTGTAATCTACTCACATATCATTTCTCAAAATTCATCCATCTCTGAAACCTTATGGTACCTCTATTTAACTGACATTCTTGCCAGCATTCAAACAGCATGTGCAGTACAGTGATGTCAAGCATATCAATTTCATTCACATGCAAAGTTGAGTATGCAATACAATAAGCCGGGTATTTTTATCAATAGTTGTAACCATAGTACGGGTCAATAGTTTGTACTACATATTTTGCCGTTTTTTTCCTATAGTGCAATGGTTTTTCTACTTATGCTGGATTGTTGATGGCTTGGAGGCTTGTTAGTCTCTGATAAATACCGCTGTTCTACCTCATTGTCATGGAACCAAGACATGTGTTAGACACTCACAATAGTTACTGTCTCTTAAAATGTCAGTCTGTAGTTAAAAGTTATAGCATTTCTCTATGTGTAAAGTTTATCTTCCATTGTCTAATAATCATTCTATTGTCAATGTATTAATGTTACATGTAATGATGTTTGGAACCTTATTTTTGATGTAGTGAGAGTGTCACAAATTTGTTGCTCTCATTTGAATTCATTTCTCCTCCTGCTTTATTTTTCCCTAATCATTGGTGCAAACTGTCAAGGTGCTTTTGTGCTTTTTTTTGTGGTGGTTGCACTTTCCCCTACCACATCTAATTTTCATATCAATCTCGATGGTCCTGAATTTAAAATCAAACTGCTTTTATTGTTGACAATCGGTATTTCTCTTCTTGACATTTGTGCCATTGATTCATTAACATTTCATTGTTAAGAGATTTTCCTCATCATATGAAAAACAAAAGTAAAAAAATTATTCTGAGTACAAATTGTGAGAATGTCTATTTTTTAATTGATAGGCACAACCGGGTATGTTAAGTGTTATTAAAATGCATCTTCATCCAAACTCTGTTGTAAATTTTGTGGAATGGAATGTGCCATTCCTGTTTGTGAAAAGTAAGAGAGAGATTAACTGTCAGACAGTGTCTCTTTAGTGTAGATTTGTTCATTGTGCATATAGAGATCTTTGGAAGCTTTGAGTAAGACAATGTCACACATATGGAGGCAATCACAAAATTACCTAGAAGTTGTTAGTCTTTGTATTATATTACTATTATTACTTCAATTATCGTGATTAGAATGACTAAAGCTACTTTTACTTAATCACCATCATTGTTCAAATTAATTTATGTAAGTTTGTTATGGCACAAATTACATGCAACATTTGTGAATTGTTTAGAAACCTTAACCTGTTCTGATTGAATCGTTGCCATTGGTTCTCCTTCAGGCAAAACTGTTGGCAAGGTGTTGTTACATCTCTGATATATCACGTCCTGATTGTGCTAACCATTTGGAAGATGTAAAAGTTGTCTTTTCATTAGCAACTGAAGATCTGGTTGAGCATGAGCATGGTTGTGATGATTGTTCTTATGTAATGATTTTCTTTCTTAAAAAAAAAAAGTTTGATTGGCTCCACATGTGATGACGGTAAGTTAGTTGAATGAAGGAACGAAAATGCAGTGCTCTGTGATTATTGGAAGTAATTCGTTTAAAAGATGTGATCATTTCTTTACTCATATAAAATTGAATTATCTTTATTATAAATATATATACTCATATACCTCTATTTTTTTGTTGTTTGGATTAAAAAGTGGGATTTCTATCTAAAAAAATTGCTGTGCTAACTGCCAAATTTCATGTGAAGATGCACCATGTCCTATAACAGAACATGAATCAATTAGATAATTTACATATCCCTTCTCACAAATCTGTGCCAATGTATTGTGACTGTAAATAATTTCATTTAGTTGTTTTTCATGTGTACATAATCAGTCACATAACATCAGTCATAATATCATTTACTACTGTATATAGAGTATGCTGTTTGCTGAACATTGTGAATATTCTGTACATATGTACATAAATGACAAACACATTGGATCAAGAAAAATTGCACATCAAAGTATATTTAAAATGTTATATATCTTCTATATCATTTCATATCAATATGTAAAGAATTTGCATTGATATTTCAAGGAAAGGACTCGACAGGACATCTTCCCTAGGTTTTAGGAAATGCGCTTAGATATGTCATCTGCACTTACATTCTTCTTGATTTTGCATATCAAGGCTAAACTTATGAAGCCTTTCTGGAACTCTCTGCTAAATGTTTTGGAGCCCATGTGGCTCTGTTTTAGCCTTTCTCCTGTCAGCTCCCTGTGGTCTTTAGCCTTGTATGCGTTTACTCTGAAATTTTTGTGATGATGTTTGGTCCCACTTTATTCTTGTTTGTAAGCCTGATGTGATTAAGTTTGTATTATCTGTGAATCTACTATCATCTCCTCAGTTGTCATTATTACACTTATTGCATTGAAATCATATGTTAAGTATTTAACTTTTTTTTCTAGTGTTTTTGTTTGCTTTTTTTTTTGGTTGTAATCATATTTTTACGGTCAAAGACAACCAGCCAATTGAAACAATCTTGCAGCATTGTAATGTACCATTCATTGAAAAGGGAGAGGTAAAATTTGCAGAGTTCTTGCTCTTCAGGTACCATCTAAATGGTGCTTTTACGATGCTTCAAAATACCTTTTATTGAGCAAAGACTGTTACTTTAAAACAAAAAAAAAGGATACTAATAAAATTTAAATATGATTGTTTATTTGACTGAAAAGAACTGATCACTCATAAATTAATCGACTTAATTTAGACATCTAATTATTTAATATTATTAGTGATTATGTACCAAAGATGCATGATTATTTATATTTGTGTTGAGCCCGTTATGATTGTGGAATGGCTTTTTGGACTTGACCATGTTCTCCCATTTTTTTCTTCATTTGTTTTAATGCAATTGTTTCAGTCTTGAAAAGACGTGTTGGCATTATGTTTTGCTATTGTTTGTTGCAACTAAGTTGCAATAAAGTTACTGCAGTTTTGTTAAGATATTTTCTTTTGTTTCTTGAGATCAAGACTTTGATGATGAGTTAAGGCTGTTTTCTTTGTGTTATTTTTTGGAAAACCAGGTTTAGGAGTGAACAGTTACCCTCTTTGAGCTGGGCCCCAATTGCAAGCTTCAAAATTATTGGCATGAGCGAGCTGCATAAAGGATCCATCTAGTAACTACCTGTTATCTCATTACATTGAGGGCTAACTTATGTTTACATCAATCCTGCCAACCTTTCCTTTGAATTAGCTTTTGTTTCGTTTGAGCTGTAGATATGGTTCAGTTGCTGTCTCAGGGGCTTTTTGTTCTTTTTACGTCTTGTTACAATTCTTACTTTATTCACCATCCAAGATTTCAACTATGCATTCCTCACATAAGGCAGTTGGGGTTACATGCACTTTAAGCTGCTTTTATTAAGAAAGAGGTGAAAGGTTCACTTTTTTCTTTTGTTTGTTTGTTTATTTGTTTAGAAAAAAATTGTTGTTTTGTTTTGGAATGGTTTGTTGCCACTATTAATGTTCAGATTAGTTTCTCTCATGTGGTCCAGACAAGTCAGGTTTTAACTAGAGTTGGGTATTTTCATTGAGCTGTAAATCATGCAGAAATGTAAGTTAATTTCTCTTACTCACCGCGCTCTTGAGAAGGTTTAGCGCACTGGCCTCCCACTCTGTACACACTGTGTAGGTGATTGTAACTCTCTGTAAATATGTGTGTTTACAATTTTAGATCGCTTTGATTTGTTGTGAAACATGTCTCCTTCGATCACTAATTTCTATGTGTGAGTACTTAGTGCTCCCATCTTTCAATCATTACATGGATAACTTACAAGCATTGTTGCCTTTGTGGCCTTATCTGCGGCACAAAAGTCAAAATGTGTTTTAAGTCTTTAGTGCTACAAAATTTGTTCAAAATAGCATAATTTTATGGGTAATTGTAGATTCAGTAATAATTGGATGATATAATCAGTGACAATGGTTGTGATCAATTTATTCTTTTCCAGGTATTCAGCTTTGATAATAATGTACTTGTGCTATGCAAACGGGTGACTTTGTTTGTTTTCATTTACTTTCATCCAGTTATCACTCTCTATATATATTTATGCTCAGGAAAAAATAAACAACTCAGGGGCTTGTGTGTTAATTCAGCTGTTTTTATCATTATAAGATTATTTGTGTGTGTTAAATCAGAGACACGGGTTTTATCACGTCAGGCTGTTGTCAACATTTAAGGACCTTCCAGCTTGTTTTTTGTGGAAGACACTGATGAATTTTTAGAATACAAACCATGTTAATTGTTTATTCCCCTCCTGTGTGTTGAATCATAGCTGTTGTGTTATGGAACGGTGTTTAAATGTTAGGAACATTTACTTTAAGTAATAGTGCTGAGTTGAGCTGGGCGAACCTGAAACTCCTATGGCATGATTTTCTGTATGTCATCTTCATCTGCGAGAACTGAACTCCCTGTTGCCTTATTTATTCTGTGTTTCTTCACCATTTTCTCTCCTTCAGAGAGAAGCACAAAGTGGACCTATTTTTTTAGTACCAATTTTGCCATAATACCTACCAACCATAGTACCTCATAAAAATGTTCAACGGACATGTACCTCAATGCATCATTATAATAGTACTGGTATTTGTTGTTACAGACTGTATTAAGGTTGATTACCATTTAAATGGATGAGTGAGTGCACTAATATTAGATAATTAGGTTTACATATTCAACATCTTTTATTGTCATTTCTTTTTGTTATTGGACACCAATTTAATTCTATTTTATATAGTTTTTGTGTTTTTATATTCTGTCCAACCATCATCAGCTTGCAGTTATAGATTTCTCAAGCTACAAATGTAGTTGCATAGTTTTAGTTGTTTCCTTCATTCTGAGAGTTCTTGTCTGAACAAAAGAGACAACTCTTTAAAGACGTTTTTTTTTTCAAATAGTAAGCAATTCAGGCAGATTCACAAGCATATCAAAAATGTTAGCACATGATAAATGTTGTCCTGTCTGAGTGTGAAATATAATATGAAAGATTTCATGTGTTATTTTGATTACCTTACTCCACATTGTACTGGTCATATAATGACTCTCGTGCTGTACCCTGTTAAAAAGAAATGAAACACTACTTTGATGTTTACTAGCCACGGCATTTATTCTCTGAGAAACAAATAAGAAGGTATGACCGACCACCTCTCTTTCAGTGGAGAAGGAACGCTTAAACTGAACGACTAGCGGCCATTCTCCGCCATCGTCTTGGGAATGCCGAGGAGGGAGTTGATGATCTCCGAGTTCCTCTTGTGGTGGTAGATGGGCCCGAAGTCCCCGTTGGACCGGAGTAGCTGCTGCAGGATCTGCATAGTCGTGTCTCGCCACATCTGCACCTGCGCGGAGGCAGCGACCGGGAGGTCAACAACGTCTACAACGACGACAAGCAAGGGTACCGGCCGGTAGGGGCCCAGCTTGCCTAGCCTAGCCCGTCTAGCATTCCGCAGACCGCAGCTTGGAGCGCCTGTCAGATAGGCCACCAGCCCGCCCCCAACGCACACGAGTCGAGGTGGTGGCCTGCCTTGCCCCTGACAGAAGTGTGTACACCGACAACACGGCAGAGCCATGGCAGAGCCGTGCTCGCTGTTGGACAGACCACACTCTTAGGCGGCCCGCCGGCCCATCCCGAACAGCGCTTTCATTATCCTTTCATCCCCGCACACACTGCAAACTCAAGTGTGTGCCAGGCACACACTTCCTGGTGCATGCCTGGCAGGCACACACTTCCTGGTGCATGCCTGGCAGGCACACACTTCTTGGTGCATGCCTCAGGCACACACTTGCTTGCATGCATGCATAAGCGACGGCAAGTGTGTGCCTGAGGCATGCACCAAGAAGTGTGTGCCTGCCAGGCATGCACCAGGAAGTGTGTGCCTGCAGGTATACACCAAGAATTGCATGCCTGGCACACACTTGAGTTTGCAGAGCACTCGGGCCATTCGGTAGGGGTGTGCAAAAGAGACAGAGGGACGATAGGCACCGAACTACGTCGCTCTGCTGGTACCGCTGGTACTCATACTCACGTCGCGGTCGGCCAGCCCCTTGGACTCCTCGTCGTAGCGCGGTGCGGCGGAGCACAGCGCCAGGACCAGCACCAGGGCGACGGCGAGGGTGGCGGAGCAGCGCATCTGGACCGAGAAGACAGAGGGAGGGAGCGTCACCGCGAGTCTCTGTCCAGAGCGGGGAAGTCCGACCAGCAAACAGAATCCGAGAGTCGTTTTCGTCGCTCTGCCTCTCTCTCGCGCGCCTTTACGGGGAGTACGAGAGATAGAGCGACGAAAGCGTAACGAAGAGGACTCCCGGAATCACAGCACAGCCCAAATGGAGTTGGTCCTGCCCCTGCCGCACTGCGAGGGTTGTCTTGTCCCCGGGGTCATTGTCGAGCAGCCCGCCTGGCCAGCTTACCGTGAGTGGAGCAGAAGACGAAGGCGTCCCGAGTCCTGGGAGTCCTGGGTAGCGAGGGGTTCCGCGGCCGGCTGTCCACTGAGGACTCCGGCAGCCCGACTCGCGCATTTATAGGGTGCACCTGCCGGCCGATTCTGAAAAGTCGCTTCGACCCTCTGCCTCTCTCGCACGCCCGTGGACCGCGCGGAACGCCCCATGCGTGCGAGAGAGACGGGGGCGACCAACCGACTCTTTCTGCCCGGTTACGTGACGAGGACCCCCGCGGAGCACTCGTCCGCCCTCCGCGGCCTCCACGGCCTCCACCCTCAACGGCAGTCGGCCGGCACGACTGGCTGCACCCCTTGCCTGCCAACCGCCGGCCCGGCCCGCCTCAGACGGAAGCAGTCTTCAGTTCCTTCCCAGTATTTCTTCTCTCTGTCTCTCACGGTGCTCACGGCACCAAGGATGTGGATCAAGGGAGGCGGTTCCATAGAGAAGGGTCATCTCTCATGGTGCTTCTCCGAATCAGATCATGAACATGAAAGGCTAGACCTGGAATTGTCCTCTGCCGATTCAGGCCGGTATCTGCGCAGAGTCTTTTTTTGCGGGCGTCCAGCGGGGGCGGCAAGGCAAGGCGGGTAAACCCTCGAGTCCCGACCAAACTCGACGCGACGCGACGCACGGCCCCGAAGAAGGCAATGCGCTGGAAAACGAGCTGTCCTGGCCATCGCTGCCACTGCCCCGCTTACACAACGTCCAGGGGCCCAGGACCCTGGCCCGGGGGTGCGCCTGGATCCGACCTGGATCCAGGATTTAGACTCCACTGCATGCACCCCGGGGCGAAGCGAGGCGAGGGGCCCGAGGGGCCCGAGGGGCGCCCGGGGCTGCTGCCTCCCACATGAAGTGGGTCACCGTCATTAGCCCGCACCAGCTGGGGCTGCTGGCAGCCCAGCCTGCTGCAGCCCCATTCCGAACAGTGCTTTCGTCGCCCTGCCTCTCTCGCACTCACGAGGCGTCCCGTGGCGGTGCGAGAGAGGCAGAGCGACGAAAGCACTGTTCGGATTCGGAATCCTACTCCCGGGGCGAGTGAACCGAGTGGACGGTGCATTGCGCGTCCAACCCCACCCTCTTACAGGCCAAGCACCCTGACGCGCTGACGCCGACCCCAGCACCAGGAGCCGGGCGTAGGAGGACGTGTGCGTGGAGCCCCGCGCACTCCTTCGCGTCCTTCGCCAGCCCGCAGCCCGCAGCGTAACAGTGTAGGTCGGATTGCCTAGCCGCGCCATGGCAGGCGCCAAAGTCTCCTGGCTTCCCGCTTGTGCGCCATGCTGGCTGCAAGCTGCTGGCTGCAAGCTGCTGGCGGCGCCGAGTCCAGTCGCTTTTCGTGAACGAGGACATGATGCATAGAACAATCACATTTCATTATATAGCAACTTTGTATTGCATAATTTCACCACCAATAAACATACATATCACTTGATCAGAATGTAAGTAGTTAACAGCCACATTGATAAAAAGATGTGCGTAGGCAGACATTTCCAGCAGTACCTTACCAGTGATTTTACACCGTATCATGCTTGGCATCTAGGGACAATTACAATACGATAGTGACAAAATTGTTACAAAAAGTTGGATGACACATTCAATTAAATCTTGATTATATCTTCCAACAATGCATAGAGAACTTGTGATGAGTAAATTCTAAACACCAAAACAGCTAATACAGACAAACTAGTAACTAGCAGTGCATATAACCGAATTTCACTCCCCTCAATTTTTAATGATAACAGGATGGTTGGTTATAAGGCATGAAAACTATGTCTTCTGGCACTTCAAAGGTAAGTCTAAACCAAATTGGAGGACCTTTAGAGAGCCTATTGACACAATGAAAAACTGAAGAGATTATCAGATTTGCCTCTCCAAGTGGTAAGTTTTAATACATTGAATAATTTATTACTAAATAACTCTGCCAACATTTTTAAACCTGCAAGGACAGAGGAAAGACTAGGTGCAGTTACTATGAATAGTTTCATAAATGCTTAAGTACACATTATATACAATCAAAGGTATTATTCGTCACACATTAACACTTAAAATCTTCGATTTCCCAATTAATTTACAGCTCATATGATCATACTCTGTATGCATTGTGGAGTTGCCGTAAAGTCCACTCAGTCACTCCCCGCTCGGCCAGGTCTTGTTGTTGACCTTGAAGGCTGCTGTTGAGCTTGCTCAAGAGCTGTTTACATGTAGCCTTCTCTCCGGAGCTCAGGAACTCTAGCGTGAGACAAAACCTAGGAAGATGAATAAAATGAAACTATCAGTATATTATATACCAGCGGACAAGTTTGTCAAGAAAGAAACATATTCCTTATCAAATATGAAAATATATGTACAAACCTCTTGGCCTTTGTGAGTGTTTCTAGCATTTTCACAATGAAGCAGATTTCATTTGTAGAAGCTCGGAAATGAAGAGCTGCTTCAAGGATCTCACCGAGAAGGCCAACAGGAATTTCTGTTGTTGAGAAAAGGCGGCCTAAGGCTCCAGTTCCTATATGCTGGAGAACAGCATAACGCCTTTCACTATCATCAAGGCTTCTCCACATTTGCATGAACTCAGAAGTTGAGGATAGTGCTCTCTGGAGATCTACTTGATGCGAAGCTGACCTCTGTTCAGAATAATGACAATAATGTTTTAATAGCAGTTTTCTTATGGTATACAGCACTTAACGATGAATTGTTGAAGCAACATACAGGATACACGTCATTCTCCATGTCGTGTTTCTCTTGACGGTCACTCGGGGCCTTCTTTTTACCACTTGCTATGGAATTCCAAACAAAGCCACTGCGGGAGGAGGAACTATCACTACTACCCACAATGTCCTTCTTTTTCAGAGGCTTCAGATGCGCTGCTTTCACAATGTCTCTGCAATAATGGATGAAATGTGTTAATGTGAGAGACAATACTGCAACTAGTTCCACGGAAAAGTTATGAACAATGGGAATACATGCTGACCTGAACTCATCATACGTTGCGACGCGCTGATTTACAGCCCGAATTTTGGCATCATTTTGAAGCCAGTACCTTGAATCTTGGTCAATTGCAGCTTCCAATTCTTTCTCTAACTCAGTAAAATCAATATCCTCCTTGTCTGCCACAGCCATGCCTCGGACAGTCGAGTCGGCTGCCCAAGAAAATTACAAAAGTAGAGAGTAAATCGATTTCATAGATGAGACATTAATAAATACTGCAAGCTAGTGGCCAGCAGAAGGGTATTTCTTTGGGGACGGGTGAAACAAAAACAAACCCCCACGTACAGTCGAAAAAGCCACCCTATGTGAACACCTTTGAACTATGGGCAATATAATGTTTACCTGATGGTTGCTTATGAAACCATCGCCATTTGGGAAATGTGAGACTGGGGTTGTACGCAGAAATACTGCGCTAAACGGAAGAAATTAGAATATGACAGAAGTTTTGTTTACGTCCGTGTCGCCATGACAGATAACAGTGAAGACGACAACAGTCTGGCCAATATGTAATGTTTTCAAATGAGGACAAAAAAATTATTATGAAGAAAACTATTTCAGAACAGAAAGCTGTAAAAAAACAACGTAGCTTAAGAACAGAAAAAAAATTGGCTTAGAATTTTTCTTCTGAAATTTTGGCGACTTATGAAAATTTTATATTGTGAGGGGGAATGGCAACAAGCAGAAGTGTTTGTGGTTATGCCGAAGATATGAAATTGCTGCAGTTATCTCAAGATAAAGTCGGGTTCCTGGGGCAGTCTAGCAGACAGTGTCTATACATGTTTCCGCACTTGTTTTAACATGTTTCGAAGAACAGGTACTGGATTCTTTTCTTTTGTAACATGACAAGTTAAATACTTTTTGAGATTGATTACTAATTCATGACTGTTGCATGATACCCATCTCCTTGTTATATTGTTTATGAGTCTCATATTGTTCTGATACATTTGTTTCAGTCTTTCTAATCCTTTTAAATGGAATTCCTAACCATGATTACTTTGTGTTGTTTCCTCGTTCTGGCCTGTTAGTTTTCTGGAGCGCTTTCATTTTATTTTTATTTACATTTATTTTGCTGCCATGTTAGGTTTCAAAATCTTGGTTTGGAGTGTGTTAACATTTACTTGATGCATATTTTTTGTCATAGTTCCTTAATACAGTTATCAATAGGTAGATTATATAATGGTTCAGATCGTAGAATTACACATGCAATTACATCTGTGATTCTCTATCAATCTTTTGTGATCGTTTCTTTTTCAGCCGACACCTGTAGTACGAGTATGGAAGAGCTTCCTCTCAGATTAAATCACGATGAGCGTGATTTTGAAGTCGACGAAAGGGAATACCTCTTACAGCCCTCTGATACGGATCTGGATGGCATCCGATACAAACGCTGGGGAAGGCGTCAACGATGGCACATGTTTGGATGCCTGAAGAGATCATTTTGTGGGTAAGGATACAAACCTGCCTCACTGACAAGACCGAATTGGAGACATTTGCTGCCAGCGGTGAGCTTCATGGATCCCTCCCTATTCCTCAAGCTGTTTGGGTGAGCCTGTCCTCTGCAGATGCAGAAGCCCAGCAGTCCCACCCAGTCACTCAAGGCGAGCTGTGGATGATTAATTGGCATGAGTGAGATCGATTCGAGCGGAAGTGTATGAGAGTGTGAATCAGTGAGTGAGAGGGGAACCCCCGGGGAAGGCGGGGCAGAGCGGCTCGGGGGCACGGAGATGAGGGGAAGGGAAGGTCAGACGCCTTGTCGCGCGCACAGCCTCTCTCTCTCTCTCTCTCTCTCTCTCTCTCTCTCTCTCTCTCTCTCTCTCTCTCTCTCTCTCTCTCTCTCTCTCTCTCTCTCTCTCTCTCTCTCTCTCTCTCTCTCTCTCTCTCTCTCTCTCTCTCTCTCTCTCTCTCTCTCTCTCTCTCTCTCTCTCTCTCTCTCGCACCCCTACGGTGCCCGCCCGGCCCGGCACGAGTGCGACAGAGACAGAGAATCGAAACGACCCATCGGAATAGCTCGGCTGGCGGCGCGTGCGGGAGCAGTGTGCAGCAGCTGATCAAATATCGCGCCTCGATGGTCTTTCTCTCTCTTTGTCGCACCCCTGGCTGGCCGGGCCCAGCCAGGCCCAGTGCCGGCCGGTTCAGTGCGTATCGCATCGCCATACCAGAGAAAGGCCACGGGTCGCCGAGCGCTCCCGCTCCGAATCTGGCCGGCCGTTGCCGTTGCGGGCCTTGCCTCTCTTCTCCTTTCCGCGTATCACGTACGGCCACGCCGTGGGCCTGGGGGGCCTGGGCCGAAGCACTGGGTCGCTAGGCTGAGGCTCACGCACACGGCGTGGCTGGCGCAGCGCGGAACGGGGAAGTCCCAGGCACACCGCTCTGGAAGTGATTGCTTGCAAAAGCGGGGCCACCGCCGCCGGGGTGGCTCGCGCCTGCTCGCGCCTGCTCGCGCCTGCTCGCGCCTGCTCGCGCCGTCAAACGAAACGCTCATGCATGGGTCGCACCCGAGCGACGCCACCGCCACCGCGGCTGCCCACCAACCGCAGCATCGGCGCGGTCGCGGACTTGGTCGCGGAGTCGCGGTCCCCGGAGTGGCAGTGAGCGGCGGAGCGGTCGCGAGGCGCGCCAGGCGGGCAGTCTAGGCAGTCTTGCTGGCTGCGATTCCAGACGTGGCCGCGCCGAGCCGCGCCGCCGCGAGCGTGGGTGCAATCGGAACACGTCTGCCCCCTCTCTGTCTCTCTCACGCGGTGAGGGCAGAGAAGAGAAGACAGTCGCCAGCAGACTGATTCCGAGAGTCGTTTACGTCGCTCTGTCTCCCTCGCACTCATGGGACATCCCGTATAGGTGCGAGAGAGACAGAGCGACGAAAACGACTCTCGGAATCAGTCTGCAGGCAGGGTTCCCCCGCCGCACTCCGCTCTCCGCTCCCCTTCCCGACGAGCGAAATCCGGAGAACTAGCGGCCCCACCGCGCCCCGCCACGCCACGCCACGGCTAGACGCCCACACGCACCTGCGGGCCTGCGGGCCTGCGGCGCGGGTCGAAATGGGGCCGGTGGAAGTCAAGTCGTCTTCCTCTTCCGCCGCACGGCCGCAGTGCGATGGAGATGGAATGCAGTGGAATGCCCGCCGCGCTGGACGCGCTGGACGCCAAGCCGACCCGGCGGCCACGGCCTTGGCCTAGACGCTGGCGTGGCCGAGCAGCTTGCCGCGACGCCGCGACGCTCGGCAGGTGCCGTGTCTGGGCGTGCTGATTTGGGCTGACAGTGCGAGATGCCGCCCGATCCCGAAGGATGTCTCTGTCCCACTCATGGGTCGTCCCGGAGGGGGGCGAGAGAGACAGAGGCGGCAGGCGACTGCGTAACCTCATGCAGTTCGGCGCGTGCCTTGGCGTGCCTGCACTGGACTGGCGTCTCTGGTGTGGTCTGCATCTTCCTGTCGCCGCGCGGTGACCGTGGTGACCGCGTTGACGGTGACGTCACCCTCTCCCAGGGTTCACGGCCGCGCTGGCGCCACTGGGTGGCGGGCCTATCCTGCTATCCTGGCGCCGCTGGATGTCTAGGCCGGGCTGATGACCCGCCGATGGGATGGTTAGGCTCCAATCATGGCGCCGCCAGGTCGCGGGTTCGATTCCAGTCGGGTGCCAACGCGAGGGCCGATATATTTTCGAAGCCAAGGACGCACGGCGCCGTGCCGCACGGGGCCACGACACTGTGTTTTGGTGCCGACTCCTGACTCGCGCATAAAATGTAGTCCGCGTTCGTGACCGCGGCTACTCTGCCACGCCTGCGGGCCCTGCAGGCAGGAAGCCGTCAGGCCGTGCAGCCGTGCGGGCGTACACGACTATATATCCTCGCGGGGGAGGGGGAGGGAAGGGCTAGGCAACAGGCAGGCGACTGCCAAACGCAGCGCGACCCGATGAATGCACGTTGGACACGCTGGACCGGCAGAGTGGTCGCTCTATCTCTGTCGCACTCATGGGCATTCCCTTTGGGTGCAAGGGAGACAAGAGACGACGGCGATGTGTGGAACCGCTGCGCAGCCCGAGGTCATCACTGCCCCACTGGAGTTCCAGGCTCTGGCAGCGATTGCAGGTGAATTGAATGCAGGCTGACGAGACTAGCGCAGCGATGGGCGAAAGGCGCCTCTGCTCTGGCCGGGACGCTAGCCTGCTCTAGCCGCTCTAGGCTGTGTGCTGCCTGCTGCCCCACCTCGGCCCCCTCGGCCCCACCGGCTAGGCCGCTACAAGTCGCGAAGACACGAGGCGCGGCGGCGCGGCGACGCGGTCGGAAGCGCGCAGCCAGGCCAGCCTAGCCTGCGGACTGTCTCTCTCCCTCTCATGGGGCGTTCCGTACAGGTGCGAGGGAGACAGAGCGACGGAACGACTCTCGGAATGAGCCTGCCGCCCAGCACCGCCCAGCCGGGGCAGCGGCATCGCCGGGCACCTTGCCGGGCACCGCCGCGATCGCAGCCCAGCCAGTGCAGTGCCGGCTTTTGAGCGGCCGCAGCAACAACCGGCTGCCTTTGGAGCACCTTCACCGCGCCGACCGCGCAGACCGCGCCGCGCGCACACCGGCCTCGCCGAGTAGAGCGCCGAGCCGAGCCACGCCGCCACGCCGCGTGAGGCGCGCAGCCCGCGCAGCGGGGCCGCCAGGGGCCGCCCCTCGGCTCGGGCCGCCGGCAGTGTGTCGATGAGCGCAGCGGCTGACAGGAGTGTCAGCCCCGTGTCAGCGGTGTCCGTCATCCGGCCGTCCAGTGGCCAGGGCCGGCCCGGGCTTGACAGTGCTCTGGACGTCGGCTGCAGTCCACCAGTGCAACGCCAGTACAGTGGAGTGCCAGTGCAGTGCGTCGTCGGTACAGTGCAGTGACAGTGCATCGTCAGTGCAGTGCAGTGCCGCATGGAGCGGCTGTGATACACACGCGTCGGCGTCGTCGCCAGGTCGTCAAGTGTGGCAGGGGGGCGACTGGAGCACCCCGTCGACACACTGTCGCCGCGTCGCCCATATGTGCAGCCGCCACCAGGACTGCAACTCGGCGTACGTAACCACCAAAGTGGCTTCCTTTGTGTGGTGTGTGTTTCCGCCAAGGCGGCCCCGTCCAGGTTCGAGCGGATCCAGAGCGGCTCTAGGTATTGGGGCTGTGGACCCTGTGGACGCGGCATGCCGGTACCGCCTCGCCGTCGCCGGTCACGTGGTTCGTGGTGGACAGCTCGCCTCGCAGTGTCAGCAACGACGGCGGCCTCCTCGCTCCGGCATCGGCGAGCTCCTTTCCTTCTGGAGCGCGCGATAAGGGCCTGCTTTGCCTGCTTTGCCTGCCACACTGCCGGACCGCCAGGAGGTCACCGCGTAGCGCGTAGCGCGTAGCAGGCGAAGCAGGCCCCACCAAACCCGCCCCGTTCTGCCGGTTTTGGACGTGCCTTTCGGCCTAGAGGCCGCGGCGGCGTGGCGCGGCGGCGGAGCGCGGTCTGTACCGCCCGGCCTGGACCAGGGGCCTTTGCTTGGGCCGTTGGGCCCGCCTTGGGGCCTCTTGTCCGCGGCCAATCGAATCGCTGCTTTGGGCGCCGCCTGTGCGTGACGCACCGAAGCGTGGGCGGCTAGCACCGGCACGGCACCGGCACGGCACCGGCTTGGCGGGCTGTGGCTGTGAGCCGCCCTCAAGATGAAGAAGGTATCGCACCTTGCCGACGGGGAGCGGAGCAAGCGGGGCGCCGCCCGCATCGCCGTCGCCATGCCCGCCGAGAGCGCCTGCGAGCGCCAGGACTCTAGCCCGCAACACACGGCTGTGCTGCGGGTCTGCCTACCCCGGGATTCGCAGGCGGCATGGCCAGCTTTTCGTCCTGCGCACCTCAATAAACGAGCTCTTTTGTTATCTGCATGGCTGTCCGTCCGTCCGTCCGGAGCTTGGCGTGCAGGAAGAAGACGCCCAGGGATGGGCCCCAATCTCTGACACCCACGTCAACGCTGTGCCTCGCCGCCTCGCAGTGGACACGCACGTGGCCCCAGCCCCAGCGGCCCCTGCTGAGTGACTCTGACGAGTCGCTCTGCCTCTCTCGCACCTTCGCGGGACGCTCCTCGATTGCGTGCGACGAAGACAGAACGACAAGGCGACTCTTCGGCATCAGCCTCCAGTGGCCCTCGCCGCCCTCGCCGCCCTCGCCGCCCTCGCCTCTCACGGCTTTCTCGGATCGGCGCGCCGTCGCGGCGGTCGCTGTTTTCCCGCCACAAGTGGAGCAGCGTGGCATTGTTGGTGGCGGCCGTGCGTTCCGTGCGTTCTGCCCGGTTCGGTTCGGTTCGGTTCTTGTTGCCGGTCTCTCCGCACCCACCCGTCGCTTCGTCGCTGTCTCTGTCGCACTCGCGGGGCGTGCCCGCGTGCCGCGTGGGTGCGAGTGCACTGTTTGCACTGTTTGTCTTCTGACGACGCCGGCCCGGCCGGCCCGGCCTTCGGGCGCCGCCGCGCCGCCACGCTGCGGTCATCGGGCATGCCGTAAGGGTGTGTGTGTGTGTGTGTGTGTGTGTGTGAGAGAGAGAGAGAGAGAGAGCGACGGGACGAAGACGGAGCGCACTCGTGTCCGCGTGCACGTGCGTGCACGTGTGCGTCCGGGCGCCTCCGAGGGGCGTGCTGGCGGGCATGCGACGCGGCGTGGCGGCGTGGGCACGACCGTGATTGGCACGACGGGCGTGGCCGGCCCTCGCGTGGCGCGGCGTGGCGCACAGGGCGTCGTTGTCTAGGCCGTGGCCGAGTGGCCGTGACCATGGTGGAATTGATGTGGCGACCGGCGGGGCCGGCCGCGTGGTGGGGGCGGCCGCACTGCACGGGGTGCATGGCAGGCGAGCATGGCGAGCACGGCGACGACGGGCGGGGTGAGAGGGGGCCAAGGGAGGAGGAAGGGGGAAGCTTGTCCTTTGCAGGGGCACTGGAGGAGACGCGGTACAGTCCCAGTAAAAACGGACCGTTTTTCTGGCCGTTCCCGGCGGCTGGCTCTCGATACGCCTCGCCTGTCCTAAATGCCGGCGGCCTTGGTGGCGTCCACTGGCGTCGTGGCGCCTGGTGGCGCGGGGAGGCACTCTGGCTGCACCGCAGGCACCGCCAAAACGTCAAGGCGGAGACAGCCTGCGGGGTGCGTACTCCAAGACGGCCGAAGGCGCTAAAGGGAATGGCTGAACGGGTGGCGGGGCGTGGCGGGGCGGCTCGCCTGTGCCTGACTCATGCAGGTGCTGTGGTCAGCAGGAAAAAATACGGGGGGGGGGGCGTTGCATGGGGTGAGTGTGTGTGAGTGTGTACAGACTCGGAGACCTTGACATTTGTCGGCCCGCGTTGCCCCGCCGGCAGGAAGGCGCAGGCAGGCAGGCAGGCAGGGCCAGTCCTCCTTTATTCAGTTGCCTGGCCGCGTGTTTTGGAGCGCGCCAGCGACGCTCGCCTTCCATCAAATGCGCCGAAGGCCCGAAGGGAAAGGGGTGGGGCAAATGACTCACCTCCTCCCCCCCTCCTCCTCCGGCCCCTTATCTCAATTATTCGGACGGCGGCCAGGCCAGATAAGCCAAGCTGGGCGTGTATGTCGCCGTCCTCGGCGCCTTTGGCGTCATCCTTTCAGACTCTCGGACACCTAGCCGCATGGCGCATCGGGTGTAGTTGATGAGTTTGGCGATGCACCGGCTCGAGGTGGAGGTGGACGTCGAGTCCGGCGAGCTCGGCCGGCGCGAGGACCGGGAGGGCCAGGGCAGCCAAGCGCTGTTCTCGGAGAGCGTCAAGCTGGTCAGCAAGCGGCGCAAGCGGCGCGGGCGCAGCGCCCCCGCATGGTCCCGGCACGGTGTTTGGCGAAGGTTGGTGCGGGCTGCAGCGCCGCAGTGGCAGTGCAGTGGATTGTCGCTTTCTCTTTCTGTCGCTGTCCCTCTCTGTCTGTTTGCGTTACTCGTGTCAACACGATGCGTCACCGCGGCGTCCTGCCTTGCCGTCCTGCCTCGCTCAGGGCGCCGCCCTTTCCTCGTTGCGCCAAAGAGTCGCTCTGTCCTTGTCGCACTCATGGGGCGTGCCGAAGGGGTGCGAGAGAGACAACTCTTTGGAAGCACTCTGCTGGCATCGGGCCACCCTCTACTCGCCTCGTTGCCCGCGACCGCGACCGCGACGTGGCTGGGCGATGGGCGAATTCCCTTTGCCGCCTCTGTCTCTGTCCCTTGCCGCGATTGGCTCACGTTTGAACGTTGGCGCGCTGTCTGGCGCATGCGCTCGCGCCTCTCTCCAACCTTGATGCGCACAACGCGTGCGCCGCAACCAGGAAAGAATCGATTCAGATTCCGCCGTGTTGGTTTCTTGAAAGTGGCGAGCTGTCATCCTCGGGCGAATTTCGCGTTAATTGCCGTGTTATGGAGGGATTCTGACTAGAAATGATAACCCCCCACCACAGTCCAAGCGAGGGGGGTTCGGCGTCGCAGGCCACCAAGGAGGATGTTCCCCTGATCGGGAAAACTCGACGCAATGTCTTCTCCAGGTTAGGCTTTGTAGACGACAGACGACACGAAAGGCGTATTGATTTTGTTATTCTACTCTCGTTTTGTTTTTCTGGGAACCGTGTTTTTGCGCTGGGTCTTTCATATTTTGACCCGTTTTGTCTGATCACATTTGTGTGGGTTAGTTTCATGGCTGTTAAGTAGTTGCTCTATGGCAACCTCCTTCTACAAGTGTATTGCTCTTATAATTTTCATCGGGTTCTCCAATTTTGTTTTTGTGCTCAAGTGTTTCAAAATGGGAACCTAACGTTATTTATGGATAAAAACAGTTTAGCCAAGCTTTTCAAGTAACTGTCATGCTTGTCCTCTGACCTGATCTCTTTGTTCATTTCAGGTGCTGCCTTTGGGTCTGGGGAAGGTGTTGCAGGCCAAGGGAACTCAAGTCCCGTACCATCACAGTGGGACACCCGAGCCGAGAGAAGTTCCCTGCCAACGTTATTCGCAACCAGAAGTACAATGTGCTCACCTTCTTACCTATGGTACAGCGAATAAGCTATTTGACCATGCCCAAGTGTTGTAAATTACGGTCAGAAATGGGTCTTAACTATTGTTTTGTTTTGTTTCAGGTTTTGTTCCAGCAATTCAAATTTTTCCTCAATCTGTACTTTTTGGTCATGGCAACAAGTCAATTCATTCCTGACATCCGTATCGGGTACCTGTACACATACTGGGGACCTTTGGTATGATTTACTTGCTTCTATTGGAAACAGTGTTCTAAGATGAATTTTTATTTTTATTCTAATTTTTTTGTTTTTTCAGGGGTTTGTGTTGACTGTCACTATTTGCCGGGAAGCAATTGATGATTTTCGACGACATCAAAGAGATAAGGAAGTCAACGGTCAGAAGTATAGACGACTAGTTCATGGTAAAGAAACTCCAGAATTGGTTCCATCTTCTAAACTTCGTGTGGGTGATGTGGTGAGTAATTAACAAGCAGATTGCTTTTCTTGGAAAGGATTTTGTGAACTAAATGCATTTGAGCTGAACTGTGTTATGATTTTTTCAGGTAGTAGTTGAAAAGGATCAAAGAGTACCAGCAGATTTAGTGCTTATTCGCACTACAGAGAAATCAGGAGCCTGTTTTGTACGAACAGACCAACTAGATGGCGAAACAGATTGGAAATTACGTCTTGCTGTTCCTGATACCCAAAAATTGGACAATGACTATCAGATCTTTGATATTTGTGCCTCTCTTTTTGTTGAGAACCCCAAAAGAGATATTCATAGTTTTGCAGGAACTTTTAGTAGGGTAGGTAATCATTACAATTGAACCATATTATTATTTTTTTCCCTTATGTTTAGTAAAACTTTAGTGCATTACTTTATCAATAAGTTTGAACTTATGGATCTATTTTGTCTTGCAGAGTGATGGACATGGTAGCTCGGAAAGTTTGGATGTGGAAAATACTCTGTGGGCAAACTGTGTTGTGGCCAGTGGTACAGCTCTTGGTGTTGTTGTCTACACTGGTTGTGAGACCAGGAGTGTTATGAACAACTCTCAGCCACGCTCAAAAGTAGGCCTTCTAGATATGGAGATCAACCAACTCACTAAAGTAAGTGGAATTCAGACAGAAACAGGTTGAAATAATAGTTCAACAGTACTAATAACATTATTATTATTTTATGTGTAGGTTTTATTTGGCGCTGTTGTCGGCTTGGCATTGGTCATGATGATCCTGAAAGGCTGGAGTGGCCCTTGGTACCGCTACATGTTCCGCTTTGTCCTCTTGTTTTCGTACATTATTCCGATTAGTTTACGAGTCAATCTTGACATGGGGAAGGCATTCTATTCTTGGTCAATTCAAAAAGACAAAGAAATTGCTGGCACTGTTGTACGCTCTACAACTATCCCAGAAGAATTGGGCCGCATTTCCTATCTTTTAAGTGATAAGACTGGCACACTCACTCAAAATGAAATGGTTTTCAAGAAATTGCATCTTGGCACCGTGTCTTTTGGATCTGAAAGCTTTGGAGCTGTACTATCACACTTAAAGGTAGCCTTTGCTCAGCAGTCTCAGAGTGGTTCAACTGATCACCCTAGCAAACCCATTGTTGCTGGGTCTGGCTCTACTCCTGCCCCAATGAAAGTTCGTCGATCGGAAGTAACTAGGGTCCTAGAGGCTGTTCGAGCAGTTGCTTTGTGCCATAATGTCACACCTGTTGAAGATTCTTCCAGGTAATATGACAATCCATTTTGGGCTTTCAATCAATGTTCTGTGGACTTCACAACAATCATATCTTATATTTACTGTTTCAGCACTACTGAGACACCTGGAAGTCCTGGAGGTGGTTCAATGGAGTCTCAAACTGAAGCAGATCAACATTACTTACAAGAGCAGCAGACGAAGAGTGTTGTTTATCAAGCTGCCAGTCCTGATGAGGTAGATACATTTTCAGGGGAGCTTTCTGGCATTACTTATATTCTGGATCACTGTTAACAACTGATTATATTTGATAGGTGGCTCTTGTGAAGTGGACTGAGGAGGTTGGACTGGCTTTGGTGAAAAGGGACCTTGTTTCAATGACACTTCGCACTCCCACTGGTGACCTTCTAGACTACACTATTCTTCAAGTATTTCCATTTACCTCTGAATCAAAGCGAATGGGAATAATTGTTCGGGTACGTATCAGCTTTACAGGTGTTATTGCATTTGTGAAATTTACTTAATTGACTGTTTAATGTGTGACTTGCAGGAGGAAAAGACTGGTCAACTTGTGTTTTACTTGAAAGGTGCTGATGTTGTGATGGCATCTATTGTTCAGTACAATGACTGGCTGGAAGAGGAGTGTGGGAATATGGCTAGGGAAGGTTTACGAACACTTGTTGTTGCCAAGAAAGTTTTGACCGAGGAGCAGTACATCGACTTCGAGGTAAAAATGAATTGCTGATTTTTAAGTTTCTTTTGTAAATTTCATTCTCTATGTTATTAACTTAAACAATAAACTTTTCAGACACGTTACAATGCTGCAAGAATGTCAATTTCTGACAGAGTTACACGAGTAGCAGCAGCCATTGAAAGCTTGGAGCAAGGCTTGGAACTTCTCTGTGTTACAGGTGTTGAAGACAGGTTACAAGACAACGTTCGCAATACGCTAGAAACTCTTCGTAATGGTGGCATAAAGGTATGATGCTCTTAAGTGTGTTCAAGGTCAAAATTGGTTTCCAACTACAATAGTTTGGAAAAGTTTTAATTTGTTGTCATTTGTATTTAGATTTGGATGTTGACTGGTGATAAACTAGAAACTGCAACTTGCATTGCAAAATCTTCAAGACTTGTGTCAAGAACTCAATCATTACACATTTTTAAACCTGTGAGCACTAGAACAGAAGTGCACCAAGAATTAAATCATTTTGGGAGAAGACAAGACTGTGCTCTCGTCATCAGTGGTGATGCTTTGGAGGTTAGACTAGTCCTTTATACTCTGTCTTTTGCTTATGATCTGTTCTATCATGTAATAATTAATTTTTCTCCCCTATAGCTATGCCTACAGTATTATCAAGATGAGTTTTTGGAATTAGCGTGTGGTTGCCCAGCAGTTGTCTGCTGTAGGTGTTCTCCAACACAAAAAGCAACTGTTGTCTCGTTAATTCAACAGCACACTGGAAAAAGAGCAGCAGCAGTAGGCGATGGTGGCAATGATGTTAGCATGATTCAGGCTGCTGATGCAGGTTTGTTAGTTGCTGCATTAAATTTTGCTTCCACATTCAGTTAAATTATTCAACAAATCCTGAATTATGAAAACTGTTTCTAGGGATTGGCATCGCGGGGAGAGAAGGAAAACAAGCTTCACTTGCTGCAGATTTCTCAATAACCCAATTCAGTCATGTGGCACGCCTTTTACTTGTGCATGGCAGAAGAAGTTACAAACGCTCTGCATCATTGTCTCAATTTGTGATTCATCGTGGCCTCATCATCTCAACTATGCAAGCCATTTTCTCTGCTGTCTTCTACTTTTCATCTGTGGCTCTTTATCAAGGTTTCTTGATGGTCGGGTAGGTAATCTTGAGTTTTTTGGAACCTGTAAGACTGATTGATTCTTTGTATTCACCACCTTCTTTGTGTGCAGGTATGCGACACTCTACACAATGTTCCCTGTGTTTTCACTTGTCCTTGATAAGGATGTCTCGGGAGAAATAGCTTTGAAGTACCCAGAACTTTACAAAGAACTAAGTAAAGGGAGGTCACTTTCATTCAAAACATTTTATATGTGGGTGCTTATTAGCATTTATCAAGGTTTGTAGCTGTTTTTTGCAATGACAATATTCTTCAATCATAATTGACAGCTAATCAATTTCTTCTCTTCTGCTCAGGTGGTGTAATAATGTATGGTGCATTAGTTTTGTTTGAAGATGAGTTCATACATATTGTAGCCATCAGTTTCACAGCTCTGATTCTCACTGAGCTAATCATGGTTGCCCTCACCATTAGGAGATGGCATATATTGATGGCACTGGCAGAACTCCTGTCACTTGGCTTATACATTCTTACTTTAGTGATTTTCAAGGACTACTTTGGTAATAACACTATAAATAATAAGTTTAGTGTCATTCTTCATATTGATTTCATTCATTTTAATTTCTTGGTTTATTTTTCATTTTCAGATGCTGACTTTATTAAGACTACAGACTTCTTGTGGAAGGTTCTTCTCATCACCCTTGTGAGCTGTCTTCCATTGTATATTTTGAAATTCCTCCGCAAAAAGTTTTCACCTCCTAGCTACTCTAAACTCTCATAATGGCTGTGTCCTCTACTTTACTATGTTATCTGCAGGCTTATAAATTGTTACTTTCTGCTGTTGTTTTGCATTTAATTTTTTTTTATCCGTCTGACGTTCTCTTTGGTATTTGCTCTTAGCTATACTTTGGCTTATTGTGTTAATAAACATTCATGAATGTACTTTGTTTTAATAAGAGAAGACCAAGTTTTTGAAGTTCAAACAGTTTGAATCTCAGTACACGATCAGATTCTAATCGTCTTAAGAAATAGACTTAGTAATGTATAAAGTGTGCTAATGTTGCACTTAATTATTTGTTCAGTTGACCCGTATTTGTATTTGTACATTTTTTTTCTGTGTATGTATATTTGTAAGTGTTAATGTGATACTGTGTACATGTATTTTATTTGGGAGAAAAAAAAAATTCGTTACTAACTGTTGTGATACATTTGTTCTGTTTAATTATTTGTTATGCAATGAACAAAGAGGAAATAATGTTCGGTTCAAACATTTTTGCACCGGAATTGTAGCTTATTCCATTACCCAAATGTTAGACCTCCTCTTATACTAATACTATATTCGGTGTAAACGGGCTTAATCGGTTCTGGCCGCAAGCTTGCGCGCCTCCGGTGAAGAAAAGACTTGTAGGGTACAAAATCGACTTGTCAGTAACTCCAGACTCTAGATCAAACTAGTGTTTGGAGTTACTGGAAAATGTTCAGTCACAATGTACATGAGCTGAGGATGTGAGAGGTCAGTTGACTATCGCTGTTTGGCGCCAGCTGCAATTTTCCCTCATATTTCGTCTTGACAGGATGAATCTAAACTGAAACTAGTGGCTTATTTCTTGACAGTATTTCATGTTATTTTGATAGAATGGTAAAATTAGCACTGACCAGGAAAGGGTGAGCCCATTAGATTGTCAGCACTAAGGTGAACTAATCACAATTCAGGTCTGTTCTTCACAGCTCTGCAGCAATTGAGAACAAGAACATAAAACCAGAACAAGGTTAAACTTTATTCAGTCCAAATAGTCAAACTTTGTACACGTAATTTCTTTCATTGGAATTGCCACAGGGTCTTACAATGTATTAAAAATGTTCCTGTGAACAGCTATGGCCTTCCTTAACACACTTTTAATTCCTATCTTTGTAGACCTACAGATCTAAATAAATACATCCTATATTTCTTACATACAATGATCACTATGTGGTTCCTTAAGTGGCAAAAATAAAACAAAGACTGCAGCCTAGATTTTGTACAGTAAGTTATGTGTACACTATGAATTGGAAAAGATTAGCATTGAGTGCATTATAAAGTGTATGCATAACAATCAAACCCTCTTTATTGTCAAGTTTGCAAAACGGTGTGCTTGATCTACAACATTTTAACAAGAAAAACTTTGATTGAATATAGGTAATAAAATGCAATGATTAAAATTGCTTGTAGCAAAAAGGCTTGCAAACCAGTCTCTTGGAAAATGCAAAAGCTTACTATATCAATATAATAAAAAATACCTACTAAATCTTAAACAAAGAAATGGAGAAAGGAAAATATTTCATCTAAATAAAATTAAAATGAAGCAGCTTTCTTCAAAACACTTAACAATAGCTACTACAAGTTTTGATTACTAAATCGTCCATCTGCTCCTATATATTCAGTTCATGCTCAAAGTGCAGATGAATAGGAGAAACAACATTACAAACAATATAAAATAAAGCATTTACAAATTTTGGAGCATCAGAGCAAATTTCAGCATTATGGTGCTGGGATATTTTGTTTCTCTGAATAATAATCAGAAATTCACAACATTTCCCTGAGCTACACCTCTATATAGGTAATGAGAACATATTGTATCAGATTCTATCTTCTTTCTTTTTTCTCTTCCTTTTAAAAGTGCATCACAGATAAAAATAAGTATTGTTACCCGGCAGGGTTTCCGGAGCAAAAGGGAACCAGTTGACAAGTTGGAAAACTTCCCTTCGAAAAATGGCTGATTACAATTACTGCTTACATACATTGCTTTATGAAGTAAAAAACTAATACCTATATGAAAAATCTTCACAGTCCAGCAAAACACACCAGAAAAATTACTGATATACTATGGCATTCAACAAACAAAGCAAAGCTGTGAACTTGTTCTCAGCGTCACAAGACAACAGACATTTCTTGAACAAGTCCTCTACAATTTTCTTAATATTTCATGTCATTGATTGTACGGCACATATTAGGACTGAAAACTTAAAACACATAAACATAATAATATGTATTAGTGCAATTGGTGCAAACTATTTTCATTTCTGCACTTAAAATTGCATTTACAGTAACATCTTGCTTGTTGCTGTAAAGTTTCACAGCCTTGCCAAAGCTTTCATAAATTAAACAGTCTAAATGGCCGAGTAAGCTCATTACTCTTATGTAGTTGTGACAAGTAAAGCTGGAAAGTGAAAGCTTTAATCTCAATGTTTGAGTGATTGATAGACTACATAAAAAAAATTAGCTCCCCTAATGCAAAATGTGAAAAGAGCTTAATACAGTACAATCGCTCTCAGGAACTAAATTAACTTTTTAACAGTACGACACATGGGGTCTCAGCAATAACAATGAACTAATTGAACTACCTACCTAAAAACAAAATTCATTAAATGCTAATGCATATTGTGACCACAGGTAATCTTCAAAGCTAAAATCTAATTTCAACTTGAATACCTCTTGAGTTTATGATGTTGGCAATAAATTGATTAGACAGAAATTATCAGCGATTTTGACTACAACTCAGATTCTGGTGAAACTAATTTCTATTTCTGTTCTGAGGGAATCATTTTAGCAGACAACACTATAAATGCAAATATAGAATAGTTTTAAAAGGGACGGTTTACAAATGTAACCATGCAACAAAGGGTTACCTGAGCCTGAAATGCAAACAACAAGCAACCACATCTTGATGTTCTGCAAAATGCTAAGATAATTTAATGGCTTTCGACATTAATTGAATCAAGCAATTTGGACGGGTAGGTCTGAAGAAATTAATATTAAAATCATGGCTGGTCTGTGGTGAAAGCAGCAATACCATTATTAGCCATGTCATCCAAAACTGAGCAAACATAAGCTGCAACATCAACCTTTTCAGTCTCGCTACGTTTAATAAAATCATGTTCCAAGAGCCTATTGTACTTAGGCCTTTGGGTTTCTTCTTTGATGAGACTGTAAATAAGAAATATTTCTTAGATGTGTTTGCGCTTTGATAAGATACGTTCAGAATCACATCACTAAACTTACCATGTATTAACAAAGGTAACAAACTCCTCTGTGAAGTGATTGCCGTTATGGTAAGGTTCTAACTGTGGTGCATCACCCTGCACAACTTGGTATAGCTGTTCAAAGACAGAATTCCATTTTGGATATGGAAAATGGCCTGTGGCCACCTCCATTAAAGTAATACCCAATGACCAGACATCAGAGCGAACATCATATCCACGTGCTCTTTGCGGGTCAATTCTTTCAGGCTGAAATTTTATGAAGTTAGGTGATTATTCAATAAGATAAATGAAAATAAAAAACAAACAAATCAATGATACATCATTTTGAGAACTAATTGAAAGAGGTCTTACAGCCATGTATGGACGACAGCCCGCATCTCGAGTACGTGCAATTGAATCAACGAGCTGGCCGGAGATGCCAAAGTCGCACAATTTAATATTTCCTCTTTTATCAAGAAGTATGTTAGAAGGCTTCACATCTCTGTGAATTATTTTCAACTGTTCCTTTAAATAGTTTAGAGCTTGAACAGTCTAGATGGGGAAAAATTTTTGTTTATTATGCAAAAGTGGCAAGGTAGTTGAAGGTTGTTGAGAGTTCACTTAAAACACTTACTGCAACCGTTATTTTCCCCAAAATGCTCTCTGGTATCCTTTTCCTTTGATTTTCATAGATGAATTTATAAAATTTATCTAGAGAAGAATCCATGAGTTCCATACAAATCCAACAATCGCCCTGCAACAGTATTAAGAGAAAATTACAATCATGACTTATTTGCAATTTCAGAAGGTAAAAAAGTTAGACTTACTTCCTTAAAGAGCGCTCCATAAAATTGTACAATGCAAGGACACTCATTGGACTTCATCACCACATCCAGGTCCATCAAGAGCTGCTTCTGCTCTTTCTCATCAACAGTTGAGCGGATCCTCTATTTTTGAAAAAAAAAAAAAAATAGATTGAAACAAATAAACAAATAAATAAACAGGGCTTCAAAAGTGTAAAAACTGCCCAAGGAGGAAAATTTTGTAAGGATACGTACCTTTACAGCCATGACAGTTCTACTTTTCCGATGCTCCATCTTATTTACAGTTCCAAAGGCACCTCGACCAATTTCTCCCATGTCCTGAAGATCTTCTGAAGTGAAATCATACACCTAAAAACATATTGAATGAAGAGTAACAAGCAGTAAGATAAGCTTGGACCCATGCAATTTGGAAAAAGATAACATAATCTTGATATGAGTCATCCAACAAGGAGGCATTGCGCTGCTTCGCAAACTTAATAAAGTGGAATATTTTTTTTAAAAAATAGAAACAACAAAAAACTTACAGTGTCTGGAGAAATTTGAAGCTTTCCTGATGATTGCATATTCAATCCACGCAACCTATGCAAAAATAGAATTTTGAAAGTGTATGATAAAACAATCTATGAACACAATAAACTAAATGCTGCATTAGGCTCAAAAATCAATTTACCTGGATGCCTCCTGATTAAGAGGTCTCACAACAGGCACAGTGGTTCTAGCCCTACTGGGGCTTGAGTTCATCGTAGTGTTATCACCTCCATGTCTTGAGCTTGGGATTGTTGGTCTCATACTAGCAAAAGAAGATTATAATAAAATATGTTGTATTTTTTGTAAAGATCAAAATGAATAAAATGTAAGAAAGCTTCTTGATTAGTGATTTACCTCAGGTGCTTGAAAGCATCTGTGTTCGAGTTTCCTGACGCACTCGTTGGAAACGAAAAACTACCCGGTGATGGTTGAAAATTCATTTTCAACTGTCTCCTTCGCTCGGAAGCTAAACAATTAAGAGATAAAACAGGTGGCTATGATTCACCGCTGAGGCTGGAGTAGCAGAATAAAATTATCTTGATATGAGTCCCAGGATAAGGAAGGGGTTAGGCAAATACAAAAAGCACAATGTAAAGCCAAATTCAAAGACAAGATACAAAAAAAATCTCATAAGATAAAATTCAAGCAATGCAGAATTGTGATATTTAGATAAATTCATCAAATACATTAGATAAAAGTGTTACAGAGCAGAGAAGCTGGAGAGCGGACATTTACAGAGAAGAAAATGTACATTCAAAAGGCACCTCATAAATGAAACCAAAATAAGATTTTGGTTTTGTTATTGAGTTCATTGTAATGATGGAAAGATGCAGAGAAACGGCCATTCAAACGGGTATTTTGATTAGTGAAGTTGCTGAAGACGTACCTTGTTTTGTGGAACTATCATTGTATTCCGCCATTTCTTAAAATCTTGACACCACGCAGCTCGTGAAAGCAAGTCTACTTAAGTAAAAACAAAACAGACTCTTTCATAGATGCAAAAGACAAGCGTGGGCCATTGAAAATGCGAAGAAAACATAAAACATTAATCGGTCCCCACAGACAGACGATATATTTTTCACTGATTTGGGGAGGAGGAACGAAAGGAAGAAATTTGCGAAAAAGAACAAAAGTAGAGTCCGCAATAAGGCTGGGAAACTGTTGAAAAGAAAACATAATGTAGCAGTTGAGACTTTTTTCCTAAATATGACGCCTCAGCAGGGACTGTTTGGTTTTTCACATTAATCAAACTCTGGGCATAATTACGTGAGGGAAATTAAAACAACAAACGGGTCCCCAGTCGAAAGAAGGGACTTCCCCTTTCAGAAAACTTATTTTTCCGCATTACACGGGGGAAGCATTGTTGACCCACGTTTCCAAAACACGCGTGAATTTACCGAATTTAATTTCATCAGGAGAGGATGATGCATAGCCCCGAAGGCTATGTATAATAACTTTCCTGGTTTCATCCATTCAGAGGGTCGGTACGAGCCTGCTTTGTGCCTACACTCGCAGGGGACGACACGACGCCACCATGCGGAGGGGCTAGGAAGCTGTCCCGTGATCGGGGTGTTGTTTATGGTATTTGTGACCATGGCTGTGACAAAAGTCAGGCTTGTTCACTAAGTTATTTATTTGAAATATGACGAAGTATGTTATCGCCGGTCTTGACAATACCACATTTACAAAAAATACTGTTGCCTCGATCGAATAATTGCTTGACAATTCGTACGTCAAGTAGGGTTATTTTCGTCTGCTCGGGGCCCGCTGCCAAACTTCACACACAATCATTTTGTTCTTACGTTTCCTCAAATTAGCAAAATAAACAACTCAAATGTGACTAGAGAATGGCTTAATAATTGTCAGAAAAAAGGCAAAAAAAATTCTGCAGCTCAAAACGTCTCAATTTTTTTCAAACATCTCAATTCTTAGTGTGTCTTAATGTTTAGTAGGTTGGCTACAGAGCTTCTTAGCACCGCCGCATGGTGGCGCCACGGGTACCCCAACTTACACTCATTAGGCCGACCCTCTGAATAGGGCCCGTGCAGGTCGAGGATCTCGAAACGGTGCTGTTAAACGACGCATAACGTTCCCTTCCGTGCTGGTGGGAAAAGCTGCGCGAAGTTCAAATTTGGTTCTCGCGTTTTCGCGTTTTGAGAATTGACTGGAATTCATCCAACCTTTTACATTGTCGAAATTAAATGAAATAAAAATTTCCGACTCGTGTTGAGAGCTTTTGTGGCATACTCGTATCGGGAAAAGCAGAAAAAGGCTGTTTCGTTTGCCCACCAGCAGCGACGGGTGCGCGGAGTTAACATGGCGTCGACCTAGCAGACATCTTAGTCAACCTAACCTGCACTATCTTGACAAGTTCACTTATTTTGCTTAAGGTTCGGCGTAATCGACTACAGTTTCCTTCTCCAATTATCGTGAACCGACACCGCAACCTGCCGCGATCCTTAGCCACTTAGTTTAAAACCGGTAAAAAAATAAAATACAACAAACACGCACCCCCAGCTGGGTCCCAGTTTGAAGGCTCGCGCGGAAATGCCCACCAGGAGTTTTTGTTCTTCCTCCAGCGGTGCACGGGCCCTATGAGTTTCATGGAGACCAGTGCAGCCAACACAACTTATGTTGTTGTTGTCACTTGAGCAGAGGCATAACCTCACGGTGTAGAGTTTAGATTTGAATGACAAGTCACAAGTCATCGTGATTTTTCTGTATCCTCTGTTTGATTTTCGACCCACCTAATTATTTCTGACGTGTTGGTAAATTCAAAGAAAACGGCTGTGCCAGCAGGTTGCAGTGAGGTAAAACGCACTTTGGGTAGCCCGTAGCTTGGTTTTCTTTTCTTAATGTTTACATATTCACGTTTACTTCTCAGGATGGCAGACTATTTTGAAGAGATGAATTGCACACCCTTAGGGGAAGGTGAAACCCCCAACTTCCTGCTACACATGGCAAGACTTCTTCAAGATTTTGGAATGTGGGAAGAATTGGGGACGAACAAAAAGTTACCGCCACCTGCCTCAAAACAGGTAGTCAAAGATTTAAAGGAGGATACGGTGCAAGAAGAGGGTAAATATCACAAAATTACATTTATGCTCTACTATACTCTATAATCTCCATATAAAACAAAATTATAATCTGCACATTTTTAATTAGTTAATTTTTTTAAAGGTGAGCAGTGTCCTGTTTGCTTAAAGAAATTTGAGGTGGCAGAGGTAGTCAAAGTGATGCCTTGCCACCATAACTTCCATACAGGGTGCATTTTGCCATGGCTTCAAAAGGTGTGTTTTTGTGAAGTTAGTCTTGTGTGAGGAGTACTCCTTGCATGGTCGTAGTTGGAATATGAGGCGTTGCATTGAAAATGTGATTCTTTTCCCTTAGACAAATTCATGCCCATTGTGTCGACATGAACTCCCTACTGACGACGAAGAATACGAAAATTATAAAAAGGAGCAGAAGCGTGCCAAGGAGAGAGAAGAGGATATAAGAAATTTACATGATTCCATGTTTTCGTAGCCTTATGGTAAATAAGCAAATTTTAAGTTGTCAACCATCATAAATCATCATTTTAATCAAATGTTTACAAAACTTATATGTTCTCTTAGTTGTTTGATGTGGTGATGGTAAATCATATTTCATGCAACAAATTTGTCAAATATCCAGATTATCTAGTGGTAGGCATGATGGATTTTCCTTGAAAACTCCACTGTTTTCAAAGACTCCTCTTGGTGCACAAATCCATGGGTCATTTGTAATTTCTTGCCATTTCAGAAGTCTCTTCTGCAAATCTTCTGTTATTGCCTGGTGTATCAATTAAAATTTGGTTATGTAAATAGATTAGGAATTCAAAATATAAATTTTACTTATTGCTGCTAATATTAACTTCTGAACAACCTTACCTTATATGCTGGTTTTCCCACTACATTTTTAGCTTCCTCTGCATCTTTTCTTAGGTCATAAAGTTCCCATTCAGGTCGATAGTAATACTGTTTCAGTGTCTTTGACCAGTGAGTTGGTTCTTTCTCACGAGTGCGATTCAAAATGTCCTAGAAACAATTAAAAAATTGGTTAAAAATTCTGGTTTTCTTTTTTAATCAAGAGGAGGGTTTTGCAATTCAGTTGAATAAAACTTTTACTTGGAAAGATCTGGAGATGTAAAGGTCTTGGTCAACTGGGAATGGCATCCGAAAGTTAATGTTGTGAATAAGCTTGAAATGCTTTGTTCTTACAGCTCTCATAGGGTAATACATAGTGACCTCATGATGGTTGTGACTTGCAAATACAGCTTTTCCATCATCAGTTGGCTCTGCAAAACAATAATGTTTAATTTAATTTTTTTTTTCTTCTTCATTTTTGAAGTTAAGATTATTTTTGGCATTATCTTTATGCTATAAGTAACCTTTTTCAAGAAGAGGAATGAGACTTTTTCCTGGCAGAGGTTGTACAGGGTGGTTTGCGGCTAAATCTGTGGTTGGATAGGGCACTGAAAACCAGTCCAATACTGTGGGGACTAGGTCCAGATGACTTGACATTGCGTATGTCACGTCAAAGTGCCGGTGGGTGGGAATTGGGGATGACATCAGCATAGGCAACTTGATACCTTAAAATAACAATAATGTAGTGAGATAAAAAAGAAAATGAAAGTAACAAAGGACTTAAAGTTCCGTAGGGATATTTTAAGTACCTGAGTCATAAAGATTTGTTCTACCTCCTGCAAAAGGTATGCCATTATCCGATGTATAAATTACCAGTGTGTCATTCAGCACACCATGGTTCTCCAGTTCCTTTAACACCAAACCAACACCTGTCATAATGCAAGTTGGGAATATTAGTTTTCTTCACTACCAAATGTCATTCGTCAGTTATTGCCCAGAAAGTACCTTGGTCAAGACGTGATATTGCTGTGTATTGAGCTGCTATATCTCTTCTAGCGGGCAAAGAATTCTGGACAAAGTGAGGAACTTCCACTTGGGTTGGATCGTATGTGATGGGATGCCAATCTGGAATCAGACCCATTCCTGTTTCTCCATTCCCAAAAAATTCACAGAATGTGCCAAACTCAGGGTGTGTGTGTCCACAGCGGTGCGGATCATGGAAGCCAACATACAGAAAGAATGGTCTGAAAAAAGGGGGTTACAACTAATAAATTAACTTCATTTACTTTAAAACATTCCCAAAAATGTACTCACTGGGCGGATTTTTGGTTCAAGAAGTCTCTAACTAATAATTTAATTTTGGTGATGTTTCGACCAACTTGCATTATTGAGTGGTGTTCTTCCGTTGCCTCATAGTCAAATTTGTAAACATCTGCTGGACCAACATGTTTCTTTCCAATTATACCTAGAAAAGAGGAAGTTATTTTTATTGTGTGAATAACTTGTTTTGCCGTGTCATAGGAAATCAACATTTATTTCTGTCAAAATGTCATGAGCATTACCTGTGTTTATACCATTTTCCCTCAAGATATTAGGAAGACTCCTCACCCCATCAAAAGAATTGAAGTGGTGTACACTGTGGTGAAGCCCATACATTCCATTTCCATGAGTAGGAAGACCACTAAGGATGGAGGCTCGGCTGCAAACCAAAACACAAATTACAATTTTCAGACAAAAACCTGTTGTTAAGGCATTGGCGAATATACCTGCCTGGGTGAGCAACTGCTGACAGATGCAAACAAATTGTTGAATATTAGACTTTTTTTTGCAAGAGCATCCAGGTGGGGAGTTTGGACCACTTTTTTGCGATAGGTTCCCATTTCAAAACCTGCATCGTCAGCTGGGAGGAAACAATTGTTTCATTAGCGGTATGGATAGTATGACAACCATCGCAGAATCAGTTTCACCGTCACAAAATAACTCACCTACAAGGAAGAGCACATTTTTCTTGAGTCCACTCCTCTTATCAGGAGAAAATGCTGCTGGTTGGGTTACAAGGAAGGCAAGGCCTAAGACCACCACCAAAGTGTTCATTGTGGATCAACACCACGCAGGCGATTGCAGCCCTCCTGCGAGTGAACCGTGCCGGCCGCCGGCTGCAAGAAGTGCAGCAGCGTGTACTATGCCGGTGTCCGGTCCGGGGTCCGGTGTCAGTGCACTCGAACACTGGCTACACCGGTCTGGGTCCGGTCAAACAACTTTAGTTTCTTGTTGTTGTTGGTGCTGCTGGGATCCGGAATTTCTTTCTCTTTCTCCCTCCTCTTTCTTATGACTGGACCGGGGCCTATCTCCTTGTTCCTTCCTGCCCCTCGTCTTCCCTCTTCCCTCTTCCCTTCGGTCCAAATGGTACTCGGAACCACCGCTAGATGGCGCGACTGGTATCACAACAACAACAAAAGCAGAAGCCTAGCAGAAGTCTTTCTCGCTTGTCAGTGCATCCTTGGTGATGATTTCTCGAGCACTGATCTTTGGACGGCAGGATATTCACGTGGCTGTCTTGCTTTCCTTGAGCTTGGAGGTTCCAAAATAAAATGTTAACCAACGTGTGCGATGCTACTGTGAGATGGAAGGGGTTTCTTCACTTGTCCAGCCCTAGCCTCAAACTTTTCCGAGCGTTGTCAACGAGTCGGACTGGCTCCACTAGTCACGAAATCTTGGTAGGAATGGAAGCGAATTACCATTTTCGGGATGATAGTACCACAAACCTCTTTTAAATTGTGAACTTTTTTGTTCCTTTGCCAAAACTTTAGCGTTGTTACCACATTTTAAAAGTTCCAGAAGACAGCAACATAGAGGATATTCGAATTGCTTTCTTAGACCTTGCAAAAAGATACCACCCTGATAGTGGATCTCCTGACGCTGACGCCGAAAAATTTCAAGAGGTGAGATGGAAAGAGGTCTACATGTGCATGTCCAGGGAGGGAAGTACCAATTTTCTTCTCTATTCAGTGGCTCCTTGTATTTTACAGGTTGAGTCTGCTTATCGCATTCTTCAAGCAAAGTATGCAGATGATCAAAAGACAGAAAAATCCATGAGAGACCAGCAAGTGAAACCTGAAGTTCAAGAATTTGACATCCAGGTAAATTATGGGAGCATCTGTACCTTCTCTGAAAGAATTGTGCAAACTAACTCACAAGGAAAAAAAGGTTTTTAAGTAAAAGGAAAATAATTCACGCAGCACACAGCTCCTCAACATAGACAGTATCTTAGCTATGGTGGATTTGGTTCTGGAACTCCATCACAACGTCAGAAACAGTACCAAAAACAGCGAGCCATGACCGCAGCAGATAATGTGATGTCTCATAGAGTTCGCAGTTTGAATCTGAATTGCAGTCACAACAGAGAGGAAGCTCTTGCTGTAAAGGACAAAGTAGAAGCCCGTAAAATAAAAACAAGGTAATTGACTGTGTTCCCTTTACGCTTCTGCTCATTACTCAACTTTCAAATAAATGGATAATTTTCTCAGGTATGGAATGGATCGTTTAGTTGAAGATTTGATTCAGGAGTCAATGGCTAAGGGAGATTTTGATAATCTTTCGGGTAAAGGGAAACCACTGAAGCAGGAAGTAGCAAATCCATATGTGGACTTTACAACACACAAATTGAATGAGGTAAGAAGGATAAACGCCAATTCTTCCTGGATGTACTCAATTTTTGTATTAATTTTGTTCTCTTCAAGGTGTTAATTGATAATGGCTTTACCCCTGAATGGATTCTATTGCAAAAAGAAATCAGAGAGGAACGTGACCATATACGCCAGTGTTTAGCAGGGAAAAGGAGGTCGTTGGGGCCATTGCCTCTTTCCTGCAGTGATGAACATGACTGGGAACTTGCCATAGAGAGCTGTAGACCTCTGGTGGAGCAAATAAATTTGAAGATTAATAAATACAATCTCCTAGTTCCCATATTACAGAAGCAAATGCTACAGGTAAATACTCCTGTTCTAATTTTTTTTTTATAGTTTCTTCCAAATATTGTGAATCTAACAAAATCTTGTAAATTGGTAGGTTCAGCTTGAAAGAGAAGCCAGTAAAATCTTAGAAGAAGTAAAAGGAGAAAATTTAAAGACTCTAGAACTGAAAAGTAACTTTGAGAAAGACAGAGAGCAACGTTTTCAGTGGTTTGGTTTTCTCCATGAAATTTTTGGAAAATAAATATGTGATTAGTCATATTTACAGCATAGAACCTGTGATAATAGTGATACTATAATGATGATGTGTGGCATTGTTTGCAAAACTTTACTGCTGTGGTCATGAATTCGAATAAAAAATGAAAGCAGTTACCTTTTACTGAATGATCACCTGATGATGACGTGGCCAGTTACAAAAAAAACAAAGTGCGCTTTTTTTTAAACATAGTGATTTAATACTGATTAGCACTGTACAAGGGTCACATTCTTTCCAAAGTAAAATAACTGACATATGCAGTTTTACATTCTGATAATATGATCAAATCCTTTCTGCTTCACAGGCAGCTGTTGATGTAAGATAGAACCCTATGAAACTAAACAAAATTTTCACTTAAGGTACACCATAAAATAAAAACTTGAGGCACTTAGTTCCCATAAACATAGAAGCAAAATTTTAAATGCAGGATGAAATATTGACATTTGCAGGTGGCAAATATCAGGAATAATACCTGAATTAGTTTTACTATATTTGCTGCTGACCCTCAAGGGAGAAAAAAGATAAGTAGTGGAGTAAGCAATATGGTATATGACACTCATTGTGCCAGAGGAAAACATTTTCTTAAGATATTTGTAACTACATACAATCTCAATCGAAATTCATTTGTAATGTCAGTAGAAGTTTAAATAATACACCTTGGCTTACATATAACAGCTCACAAGGCATGAGAAGTTGTCCCACAAAGGGTTGCTGAAACAAGCAAAAGTTACGATGCTTACACTTTCGGGATTTCACTTTTAAGAAGGCTGGGGTACTGTCTGAGTAAGGTAACACATTTTGAATAATGAGGTAATGCCACAATTAATACACACAATGTTATGGATAATATGCAATATTCAGCAGTTATCATCAGATTTATACAATATATTTCAATGCAATAAACGGGTGGAAACAAGGGACACAATGTATGTCTGGGATGGAAGGTGAAAATGAATAGTTGGAAGTCAGTCGACTATGAAATTTCAAAAATTGTAAACTACAATGGTTGGCACACAGGTGCTGAGAAAGTCTGGTCAGAAATCTTGACAAGGCAGACAATCAATATTCTCTTCCAAAGATTCACTTTGAGCACAAAATACAATTTTTCTATTTATTTTAGGAAAATATCCTCAGAAGTCAATATTTGGTAGAATTTCACGTAACTAGCCTATAAATTGTACAAATTGAATTGACCTTTCAAAATATTGCTCATGATTTTTTAACATACTTCAAAAAACTAATACAGAGATTTACAGCTCAAAGCTGATGTTTCACCCCATGACATACTTGCTTTTGCATTGACTGGTTCAAAAGTTGAAACAAATTACTAATTTAAATTACATGGTGTTGTTACAAGTTAAACCTACACTAAAAGTCAATTTGCTGTCCAAATCTACACAAAAAAACACCCTGTAAATGACTGCTATGAGGACCACAAAATTGAGCTCAGCACATAGCTTGAATATCAGGAAGCTGCGATGCCTTTGCTGTATTGACATTGGGGCCATGCAATCAAAATTCTAAGGAATCCTCATGCTTGGTGTTTCAATTCATGAGACAAATTCAAACACATGAAAGTGTTCATGATATCATGATTGTGGAGATACAAAATTGACAACTTGCTCTCAGACCATCAGGATGCTAGATGAAGACACATTTTCAAAATTTCAAAACATGAGAATGTATGGGCAAGAATATTGTAGAGCATTCCTGGTCAACGTTTTCAGGCTTTGAGCAATGAAGTCTTGCGGAAGTGAGCATTATAAAAATCTACCACAGTAAAAAAGAAAATGGGTTGGTAAAAAAAAGTCTCTGAATATTGAAAGGTCTTAACAATAACCCTCTGTGTGTCAACCGCACATACCCTCGATCATTTAACAAACTTCTGCAAAATAAGACCTTAAAATCTACTGCACCATATATCAGAATTTGCATTAAATAAATTGTACATTCCAGAAAGAAAAAGCATTCAGATTGTGTTATTAAGCTTTAGGTGGTAAACTACATGTAATGTTTTTGGAATGTCTATACATGCATACTGCTGCACAATATTTTGACATCACAGCAAGCAGGAATTATGGTAGCAAACAAATGCTTTGTATTGCTAGTAATTAGTAATAACATATATAAAACTTTGTTTTCTTTAATAATAAGTCTATCATTTGTTTTTATATCATTTAACAATGGTAACAAAAGGTATTTGTCTTCTTAAATAAACAACATTACCTTATTATAAATGAGGGGTAAACTGGCAGTGGGATATATAATAAACAACTCTCTCTATATATAATCTCTAGTGTTATCATTTTGTTAACGTGAGTCATTCCCTAAAAAAAAACAAAAAAAAACAACAACATGCACCTGCATATTTAAGGATCACATTTACCCTTTTGTTGGGTATAGTTAGATTTCACAAGTAGAAAATGTATTAGCTCTTTTGAACAATTCACAACAGTCTAGATTTCTAAACAAATCTGCCCTTGGAACAGTGCAACCTGAGACTGAATGATAGAAATGACTACTCCATCGCAGAGGCAAAGTATAACTGAAATTACCCTGCTATAAATTTTCAATAGGTATGAAGGCGTGACTTTCACTTCTTACTTTAAGAGAAACAGATGAATATGTTCATAAAACAGGACAAGGAAAGAGGGAACAACAACAAAAAAATTAAACAAATATATTTGACAAGGGAGTACTTGAAACAAATTATCAGCAGCCATTTCAGACATCAGTCCCAGGAATGACACTGGCTGAAACAGAAAACACAACAGACACGTTAATTATTTGTTGAATATAGGATAACAAGTTAACATCAGAATATTCCCAAAGTAAAAATTGGTGCCTGCACTAAGATCTATGCTATTTAAAGTCGTTCAACAAATCTACAACAAACTATCAATGTACAAACAAACCATACAACAATTGTCAAACTGCACTTTAGAGGTGACTCAAATGCATTAAGTATGGGACTCTGGCTCTACTTTACGGACTGCATCCACTGGATCAGAGCTCAAAAAGTCAGCAGAGAATATTGTTCTCATTTGATCATCTTAAAAACACTGACATGCTGTTATATTATGGTCAGTGAGATTTTAACTTTATCATAGAAAAGTTCCAACATCAACAGTTGAATAACAAAAAGTAAAAGAAACATACTGTCAGGTAAACGGTTGATTTCTTAAAGACATTTGATTAACAATTCAGGAAACTTCATCCCTCAATATAATATGACTAGATTGGAATGCATCACAAAGAAGGATAAAATGGGAAAGAAGTTTCCCACACTCCTTTGCCAAAAACGGCATTAAAAAAATCATACAGAAATAAAGAAAATGATTATAAGAGCCTGACTTCTCAAATACATCAAAAGCTAATATAGTAACTAGAATACACCATGCAATGGTTATTGCTGACTAGACACCAGTCAGAAGTGCATGTGTTATATAAGTGCTTCAATAAATGTGATAAGGGAAAAGCCACATGTCATCATAATGGACTACATAAGCAATTGACATGTTGCATCAAAACAACTCTGTATACTCCCTGCCCCCAAGATGTATATCCTAGATTCACGGCAATGGATAAGTTTTACTGCAAACATATGCAAGAGTGCAACATTGCCAATATCCTGTTTTTGTGTTTTTAAAGACAATGGACAGTGGGAAGAAATCAACACCACAGACCTTGACCTGCTTTGATTAGAAGAAAGAAAAGCTCGATTAAATTAATTAGTATGGTTGTATTTCTGGTTTAAATAATCACTCTCGAAAAGCGATCGTCCCTTTGAACAAGAGAATCAGCACTACTGTGGGCTGTACCACCCTTCAAACCAGAGTCGCTGAACATAGACATCCTTACATCTGCAATATCCTTTGCTTTAATGTCTGGTGCAAGTTTATCCCCCGATGGAGCTCGGCGATCTAGGCTGCCCCAGTCCCTTGCGCCACTATCTCTAGATTCCCATTTAAATTTTTCATTTTTCCCTTCATCTCTGAATTTGTCAATGTTGTTGTAACCTGGCATGTCATGTTTCAATTTGAATTGATCATACTTCTCTTCATGTCCAAAGCGATCTTCCTGTTTACGGATATCAGAACCAAAGGTTTGATTATAACTTAAACTATGACCAGGCTTCTCATTGCCACACAATTTGTCCTTGGAGTCACATTTTGCAAGAGGGCCAAAGCTTACTTTCAACCCAGACTTCTCATTCTCCTTGAAAGATAGGTCTTTGCCAATGCCATACTTCGGATCTGTCTTGTAATCAGCAAAGCCTACAGTACTCTTCATAGATTCATCCCCAATGGGTCTATCAAATCGTCCATGCCCCCCAATACCAAAAGTATCACCACTTGCAATGTTTTTAGAGGAATCAAAATTACGAGTTGAAGAAGAAATTAAAGACCTTTCTGAGTCTCTGTCCACTTTGGATTTCAAAATGCTTGAAGTGCTTCCACCATACAGCATAGTCTCAGAAGTAAATTTTCTTGTGCCCTGAGGACAATAATCATCAAGATTTTGAGCCCTGCTTTCTCGCATAATGGGACTTCGAGCGCGATCATCAAAATTAATTCGGGCATCCAATGAACGACTTCCTGAATCATACAGAGATTTGCTATCCAAGTGTGACTGCCCTCCAAATAAATCTGGTTTGCAAGACCATGTAGATTCTGGTTTGTTATCCCTCTTGTGCAAGTCTGAATCCTTTAGTTTATCTTCCCAGCACCGAGAGGATAGACGAGAAGGAGAGACTCGTGACGGGGAATGACGTGAAGGGGACAGGCGAGAGCCACCAATCAAATCAAATTTGTCCATCTTTGTGGACACATCATCCACCCACTTTGATCCATATGATCCTTCTGAATAACTTGAAAAAGAAGGAAAAGAGAAACCAGATTTTACAAAACTAGGAGGCAAGTAGTTTGCTTGACCTGTGCTGATGGTTGACTTCTTGTTTGCCTCTTCTCGTACAGCTGCTGTCACAGAAAACATCGGTCCATGTCCAGGTACAATGTAGTCAGCAATAAGGAGGATGGCATTCCGATATCTTTCCTGACTACGCGGGTTTTCAGATCCGCCAAGAGTACGCCATATAGAGGAGTCTTTTAGATCCTCTTCCTTCTCAAACAAATCACCTAAAAAAACAACAGAAACCATATTCCAAACCATTTGATGCCTGTGACAATTTTATGGCAAGCATTGATTATTTCCTTTTTTAAAAGAGAAAACACTCACCAACAATAGCAACTGTTCCTTGATCACGAGTACGTACGATCACAGATACATCAGTGTTGGTGTGTCCCGGGGTGGGAATCACTTTCACATCATCATCAATGACAAAAGGTTGCCCTTATAACAAAGAAATAAATCAATTTCAAAATAGACAAGAAATCATATTTTAAAACTAGGGAATACATAAATACATACCATCTTCAAAGGGATGCAAAGTATAGATGTCTCTGAATGATACGGAATACCCCACAATGTGCTTGGCATAAAGAAACAAATTATTGTTTCCAACGTGGTCTGAATGGCCATGTGTGCACACAACATACTGAATGTCATCGGGAGTAAGCTTATGAAGAGCTAATGCTGCACACAGTAAGAGAAAGAAAACAGCATAAAATTACACAGGTCACACAGGAACTTATCATTAGACAAATCAAATACATACCAGAAATGATTCTGTCCTTGTCCCATGGTGTCATGGTATCAACGATAACATTGTGCCTTCCTCGAATTAAGGTACATGAGCAGTTAGCAATCATACCCTGATCCGTGGTACCGGAATAACCAGTGTGCAGAACATGAACTTCGTACCCCATTTTCTGAAATCATATCAGTGCCACAAATCTTGTCATTAATAGAGAAAAGACAAATGAACTACTTTACCTTCCCCCAAGCAATAAATAGTAGTAACGAAGTTGATGACGTCAAACAGATATCTCTTTTGCTGCAATTTTGGCTAAAAGAGTCACATTGACATCAAAACGACATCACTGTGAGTGTTTCGTCTTCTTGGGGTGCCTAATGCTCCCTAAGGCATACCTCCCTTATTAAAAGATACCGTTACAAGCTGTCACAGATCAAAATAAATCTTTATTATTGATTAGGCAAATGTTATGACATGATATGCATAACAAACTATACACTACCAAACTTTTTGGTCCTGCCATACAAGAACACTTGCCATTCCCGTGGACGGAGTCCCTGTGGCACCTTACCTTTCACAAAGGACTTCAAAACGAGCAGAGGAACCAGCAGGAAAAGAAAACTTGACGGGAACACGGTGGAGAAACGTCGTCTTGGGAGAAGGGATTTTGCTTTTCCTTCCTTCCTCAGGCAGTGGGAAGGCAATCTTAGCTTAGCAAGCGTAATGCACCAATCGAAGCCAGCTGCCCCTCCGCCCGTGCTGAAAGGGGTGAGTTGAGGGTGAGGGGTGCGGAGGAAAGGGCGAGTGGAGCGGGGGACGGGGGGCGGGCTAATAGGGGGTGAAAGGCAAGGGCTTGGAAAGGGGGTGGTTTGAGCCGCGTCAAAAACTTCTCATATCTGTGATATGAGAATGTTTCAGGCTCTAAATTGCTCCACATCTCTTTTGTTTTGACATCGACGGACTGCAGAGAGCGCCACAAACAAGCTGGTTGTCAGTTGCTGAGTAAAAACAAAGAATGTTTGTAAGTGTTCTGTGTCGTATTCGTGATAATTCAGCAATTTCTCGACTTCGGTCACTTGAAGTCGCTGAGGAAATGTCCACTCCATCTGCCTAACTCTGTGGGGAATACCTGACAGCACGTACGGCGACGGCATCTCGCGAAGTACGAATTTGGTGAAAGTTTCTAGTGTTGCGTCTTAAGGTGACTCGGGGCGTACTCATATGTTGTTTACCTCATCTTAATTCGTCGGCCCTTTGGTACAGTTGTCATGTCAGAGACCATTACAGTTCTTTTCCCATCATTTGTCTAGCGTCCTCCACAAAACAGATCTGGACCGGATATTAGCAAACACTCCGTGCGTCGTCTAACCTGAATGTGTACATTTTTCCTCAAATTTTCCTGTATAGCTTATAAATGAAGAGTTGTTAACCCCATTCAATCAATGAATAACGTTGGAATCAACTGTCACTTCTTTTCAATGTGGTTGGAGACAGTGTCTGTAGACTTTTCCATTACTTCTACATTTTATTTTGGACTTCAGCAAACTGTCGCATTCCTATTTTGATGTTGGTGTGATTTATATTTTGCTCTCATTTCAGATGTACAGTCGGCTTTTTCTCCTGTAGTTGTGAAGGAGTAAGGTGTTTTTTCATTCACCTTGAGAGACATGTCTGAAAGAGATGATGGTGGTATTGAATGGTTGGCTGAGCTACTTCAAGATGTTCAGCTGGAACAATTCTTTTCTCGGCTTCGAGATGACCTTCAGGTTTCTGATAATTTTTTTTATCGCTTAGATCACACTTAAATTGATCTAAACCAATCTTATCATGATAAATATTCTTCAGGTCACACGCCTTCAACACTTTGACCATGTGGAGCCTGGAGATTTGGAGAAAATTGGAATGGGTAAACCAGCTGTGCGTAGATTGTTGGAGGCTGTTAAGAAAAGAAAGCAGCCTCATTGGAAGCGTAATATTCTGACCAAGCTTATTCCTGCTGGTGGAAAGCAACAAGGAACAAGCTCTAGAAAAACAGTATCAAGTGAAACCTCTGTTGGAGCCCTTACATGTCTGATACATGAGAAGGATGTTGCGTTAGTGCATTTTGTACTTATGTGTAATTTTTTTGTTATCAAGAATTTATTTTTGCACTCATAACATATATTAATTATCTATCCACAGACTTGGTGATAAACTTGGTGATGGATCCTTTGGTGTGGTGCGACGTGGAGACTGGACAACTGCTGATGGTAGACTTGTTCATGTTGCTGTAAAAGTTTTAAAGCAAGATGCCTTAAACCAACCTGGCGTTTTTGAGGATTTTGTAAAAGAAGTTCAGGCAATGCACCAGTTGGACCAGCCTAATCTTGTGAGGTACGCTGTCATTTCCTCAACCATTTACCTTAATGTCATTTGTTTTCAGTTCATTTTGTGCCATTCACTGAGTTCTTTTTCTGCTTAAGGTTATATGGTGTTGTACTCTCCCACCCAATGATGATGATAACGGAACTAGCACCTCTTGGAAGTCTTCTAGATTATTTACGTAAACAGTGTGAGCACATGCCTATAACAACGCTCTGGAATTATGCTCTTCAAGTTGCCACTGGAATGGCTTATCTAGAAACAAAGCGCTATGTTCATAGAGACCTTGCTTGCCGCAATGTGTTTCTTGCTGCAGTTGACAAGGTAAGTGTTGTTTTAATTTCTGCTTTTCCTTTTTCTTGTAGTTCCAAAGTAGATTTCTGCATGATCAATCAATTATCAATTTCAGATCAAAATTGGGGATTTTGGTCTTATGCGTGCAATCCCTCAAGAGGATGATTGTTATGTGATGACTGAACATAAGAAAGTCCCTTTCCCATGGTGTGCACCTGAGAGTCTGAAAACAAGACAATTCAGCCATGCATCTGACACATGGATGTTTGGTGTTACTTTGTGGGAAATGTTCACCTTTGGACAGGTGAATTGTTTTTGTTTTTATTACCTTGTTTCTGTTCAAAACAGACCATTTTTCTTGAAAATAAATAAAAGGGCACTGATCTAATTAACTTTAAAATTTTAGGAACCATGGATTGGCCTTAATGGAACACAAATCCTACGTAAAATAGACCGTGAAGGGGAGAGATTACATCAGCCTGATTCTTGTCCTCCTGAAATTTATCGGCTTATGTCACAGGTACCTTTTAATTCATCATTTACTATGGACTGAATTACTGACAGTTAATTTCCTCATTTGTTTTACTCTCTTATCAGTGCTGGGCCAAAGCTCCAGCTGACAGGCCAACATTTGCTGCAATCCGTGAATACTTATCTAAATCTTTACCTCCTATCATGAAAGCAATTGGACGATTTGAGGAAGTGGGTAAACTGACTGTGGAACCCCGGGACTCAATCATTATTATTGAAGGGCAAGCAGATTGTTATTGGTGGAAAGGGCAAAATCAAAGAACATTTGATATTGGCCAATTTCCGAGGTATCGTGTTGTGCATTCCATATCTTTTGAGGTTTGGTTCAGGTAATATTTTTTCTTTTGGTCAGTATTTGTGTCTAAGTTTATTACTTTGTTTCCTAGATGCATAGTTGACCCATTGCGGAAAAAGATCAGTGAAGATATCAGTAGCCCCCTCCAGAACTCATTCATTCATACTGGGCATGGTGATCCATATGGAAAGTCTTGGGGTAGTCCAGCATTTATTGATGAAGTGTACCTTAGAAATCCGATGGAGCCTCCTGACGTTCTTGGCATGCCAACAAATACAGGTCAATCGTCCAAGCTACCAGATAGAAAAAAGAGTAAGGGTCTCTTTAGTTTATTACCTTATTTTTGATGAACAAGTGGTTTTCATGTTGTATACTATTTTGTACCTGTTAAAATCTTTTAGGGAATTCAAGGCAGGCTGAGAAAAACCCAAAACCATTTGCCTATTCAAAGTTGAATAGCAATGAAGTAGCAAAGCGAAATCACTTTGCTGTAGAAGCTGTGATTTCCCCCCGCAGTTCTAATAGTGGTATGAGGGAGGGAGTGTTAGTAGACATATCTGCAGAGCAAAATGGGGCCTCTGCAAAATTGAGCAGTAGCTTATTTCCTCAACCAAACCATATCAGTCATAGTAAAATGCCAGTTGGTGCTGGTATTTCCATTTTAGATGAACCAATTGAAAATGGTACTCAGAGTAAGTATCCTCTAAAAAATAAAGAATTCATAACATTAATATGGTTTTTAAGCTTTGTAATTTTTCTGTTGATTGGTTTTGATTGAACTATTTTTTATTTGTATTGTTCTAGATGAGGAATATTGGGAATCTTCCGAAGAGACCATTCAAGAGAGACAGTACGCTAATTATCCATCCCGAGAGGCTCCACCACCTCCAATTCAGCTACAAGAAGCTCAGGGTGTTCTCAGATCAGAGTCCCCAGATCCCTTCGACACATCTGGTGTTGTTTTTGGTTCCAGTCGCTATTATTCTGATGTTGCAGATTCACAAAATACCTATTTGAATGTGGATGAGGTTAGACAAGAAGCAGCCAATCAAATTCAGTGGCACCAAAGCGAAAGTGCTCGAAACCATACAGAAGTACATGCAACAGTACCTAGTCAGGTAGTTTCAACAGAGTCAAACAAAATTCTAGATCCCAAATTTTTAGCTGAGCTGGAAAAGCATTTAGGACGCAAAGAAGCCAGTGCAAACACTAATAATTTTAGCCCCGAGAGCTCAGTCCAGGAAAATTTAAGCAGTAAGAATACTATACCTGCACTGAAACCTCCACCACAGTCATCAAAACTCGCTCAGAAGAACTCTCAAGCAAAACCATTGAATGCATCAAATGTTGTTTCTCCTACCATACCACCAACAAGCATTTGGCCGTCCCCTGTTCAATATCGAACACACAGCTCCGGTGATAGTGTCAGAGCATCCCATGTGCAGAGTGTCTGCCTACCTGCTACTGCTGGCTCCGTTTGGTCTTCTGCCGGTGCCGCTCAGACATCAACATCCACATCAACAATGAACCAAGAAATAAACAATTCTGTAAAACTTATGAAGAATATGTGGTTATCTGATGCAAGTGCCAGTGAACCAAATCCTCAGCGTGGTTCTGGTGTTCCTCTGCATCGCCAGTCCTGGCAAGTAGATTCCATTCCACAGGGTTTGCCCCCATCATATGTTGTGAATGGTCAAACTAGGTATGTATCTGTTCTCCTGCATTCGCATATTTTTTCCCATTACAGTGGTAGCTAATGGTAGAACCTAATGTTCTCTTTGTGTGCAGTTTTGACCCGGCTGCAACATTGAGTAACGCTCTTGTACCAGTGACACCGTTACTGCCTATCCAGGCTACAAGTGCCCAAGCCTGGGCGGTTGGCTCACAGTCTGTAGTATCTAGTCCTGGAGTGTATCCGGCGCCTGTACCAGCCATTCAAGGTGCAAGTGGTGCGGACAGTGTCACTGTGTACCTGCCTGTGAGTCAAGTGGACAGTGAAGAACACACTTGGAATCTGAGTGTAGGAACATCAGTCAGCAATCAGGTACAACAACACCCGGTTTTCTACGGTAGTTTGCCTCTAGTCCCAGCAAGCCAGACTGGGTGGACAACTTTCAGCACTGTGGATGGCAATGGAAGCCAAGGCCAAGGCCATCAACCAAAACCAAAGCACCCTCAATCACTTCAGCAACAGCAGCGTGCCGCTGTCAAGTCAGCCTTGGAGGCACGAAATCGTGCCTTGGCAGCTGGTTCCGGACAATCCACTGCCGATGTAGGTGCGGGAGGACCATTGGTGCAAAAACATTTGCACCCTACCCCTCAGCAAGTTTACAGCATTGTGCCAGCTTCTCCTGCTTCCTCTCCTAGAAGCAGTGCCAAAGTGGTGAGTTTCTTATCGTGTGTGCATGGGTCAGTTTGTGTACGGCCGTTTTCTTTGATGGGGCTTCTGGGATTACCTATTCCTATTACCATGTCAGCAATGCTCAGATAGCATGTGGAGGCGACTTCTGTAGGGGGTGATCTATCTTTGTAGTCCATATTTGTTCTTGAGCTTGCTCTTTCCCTTTATTTTCTTTGCTCGCAAACTTGCAAGCATCCTTCGTTCCCCCTCTGACGTATTATTGAATGGCCTGCCAGGAGGTGGGAGTGTCGGGCGAACTACGCGCAGACAAGGTGTCCCGCCTCCAAGATGCAGTGGGCGACGCTCGCGAGGAAGAGTGTGTTGCCGCTCTTAACGCCACAGGCTGGGAAGTGGCCGCTGCAGCCAAGCGTATAAAACTCGACAGACTAGACAGGTAAAGGCTAAAGACTCACTCACATGTATCAATTCAGTGTTTCATTTCGTGCTGATCATATTGATGTCTGTTTTATTTTTTATTATTAATTATTATTTCGGTAGGGAGGGCGGGGCGTTGTAAGTTTTGTAGATTCATAAATGGAGTTTTTATTTTCTATCCCTTGATTAGAGATTTTAGCAAAAGATACCTGAACCATACAGGAGATCAAGTCGCTATGTGTTAAACCTTCATACTTAGGCTCCATTTGTTCTGAATGTATTAGAATAAATCATCATTGTGCCCTGTGACACTTAAGAGGAGTAAGAGTACTCTTTTTTGTCCCTTTCTAACTTATTTAATGCCTTGAAGGACTGTTCTTTTTTTCCTTGTAGTGCATGTCATTTGACTTTTTTTATTTTGATTAGTCTTTAGTGTTGATTTTGTTGATTGATTGCTTTGGTGTAGTGTATTGTTCCCCTGCATGAAAACCATAATATCTGCATCTCTGAGAAGTTTATCCCTGCAATTGATCTAACTTGGGTTTTCTTTTTGTCTCTAGGCTGGGACTCGCCTCTCGACTCCAGTGTGAAGTGGCCTTAGAAAGGTCAAAATGGAATGTGGAGGAAGCAGCATCTAAACTGTTGGATGGTGTTTAGTCTCTTGTTTAATGAACAGTAGTAACATATTTTCAAGTGGTCATGAACTTCTCTCATGCGTTGCTTGTACCAAACGCAATTGTTGCTTAGCTAGAAGTTTTAATTTAATAATTATTTTTGGATGATTGATGAATGTGCGAGCGGTATGTTGTTACTCTTGATTTTGTATGCATTTAAGCTATTCTCAGTGGTTCTCTGATTGTTACTGTTTGTTTTGTCCCTTTTTAGTATAATTAGACCGAGTTTAGAGGAATTAGTCATGTAAATCTGACTTTATTTATATTCTTCAATTAACTCAAAGCTTTTGTGGAATTGTATGATTCTAAGAAGTGGAACTTGATTAATATGTTTGTGCCATTTATGTTTGAAAGACATACACTTTTAAACAATCACCATTGTCTGTGGTTCATGAATAAGGTTTTAAAAAATCGGAGTAGTCCTCCTCTCTCTGATCATTTTTATCCTACTTACTTTGAACATTGGCACCTTTATCAAAGAATGCAATTGTGTTACCTCATTTATCACTCTTTCAGTTTGAACATTAAATTGAGGTCAATTTCAAAGTAAAATTGTTCTCAAGGTTTTTCAAACGGCTTATTGTGCCTAATTGAAAACCTTTCCCAATAAAATAATCAGAGGCTCCCTCATTTCATTCATTGCAGCTGTCTTATTCTATCCTCACTGTAGAATGTTAAATGTGATTCTTGTCTCACCTGACTCACATGAGTCTTGTATTTTTAGTGTAGTATGTTGCAAAAGAAATTAATTCAGATTTCTATTTTCCTTTCATAGGTATCAGAAAATTGTTCGTAATTTTTCATGAATCACATACGGTAATGACTAAGGGCAGGTCCCTCATTGATAATTGTTTGTGCCTTTAGATATTTTTTTCTGTGAGATTTAGTTAGCAGCAGCAAATGACTGATTTGAAGTGAGTTTGTATTTTTTTAAATCTGAAAACAATCTCGTACAATAATGAGGTTCTGTTGCTCCCTCTGTGTTGATTCTATCTTATCCTCTCATCTAGCTGATATTTTACGTCTGGATCACAAGTCCACTTTTAAACTTGTTGAGATATTAATCTATCTTAATTATAAGTTCCTATTTTTTAAGTGGCAGCTGCAGTAAACCTTTCTCTTTACTAGAAAGTAAACTTATCTGAAGATCAAAATTGTTGCTCTCTGAGATGGGGAAAATTCCCTCGATCATATTCCAACTCTGAATAGGCAACCTTATCAACTTTTGTGATATGGTTTCCCGTAGTTCTATTATCTTTGTATTATGTTTCTTCCTAGTTACAGTACAAACAAGGCAGTATAAACTTACTCTTTAGTTTTTTCTTGATATTGTCATAACTAGTTGCATGTCAACAAATCATTTTAAAGATTTATGAGTCTACATATTACATATTCCATTATAAATACAGTATTACAAGTTGTGTTGGGTTTTCATGGAGCCCTCTAGTTGTGTCAAAACTAATTCTTCTGGCAATTGGCCGTTTCTATTGTCATTTTTCCAAGGTGTTGCTTGAACTTCCATTTAGATTACATTTTTGTGACTTGACTGTTTATTTGGTTTTGAAGATTTCCGGTATTAATGATATACCTTTTCTCCTTCATTCTTTTTGTGCCAAACTGTGATATGTATGTTGTTAAGCAGAGCTCTATTTGGAAGCAGTATTATTCTAAGCTTCTTTCTCAGTTCTGCTTTTTGATATTGCACAAACTTCATGTTAAAATATCTGTAGGCATGATTAAGTATATGATTTAGTGTTTTAGAATATGTGCACACCAAAGTTTACGATTGAGTACACTTGGCAAGTATTTTCCTACTTAACTACAGATTCACAAATAAGCAAATTAATTCTGAGATTGAAGGCTGTGAATGTTGCATTGTTGAGAGATACTTTTCTAAGGCAGCTCATTTTTCCTTTCTCAATTTGCTACTACAGTATTGTCTGTGCCACCTGTAGTCTACTAAAAGGCGTGTCAAAACAGATAGACTGTTTGTACTGTACTTCCAATTTTTAAAAACAAAAAAATGCCCTTATTTTGTAGGCGTTTTTTTGTTTTGTTTTTGTTTTTTTAAATGGCCATTTGAGTAGCCTATCAGACTAACATAATTTAATGTTTTCTTCTTAAGTGACAAAGTGAATATTTTGAAAGCATGTTTCCTTTCTTCCCTTAGTAAAATGCATATTGTGATTTTTGTTTAAAGAGGATCATAGTTAAGTGGAGTGTGAATTCTCGTTGAGTGAAGGGGCATCCCTATGCTCAGACCGATTAATAAACTACATTTTAAAAGAATCTGTGCAGTCTCTTGATCTTCCTATTCCGTTTACTCACGCCAACACGTGCAAATTATACACGCTGCCTGCCGAACGCTCTTAGGGCTTGCTCGAGAGCAGCAGCGTTGCCCCCTCCCCCTTCCTCCCCGGCCCCTCAGCCCCTCGGCCCCCTGCTTCTATCGACCCGCTGTACCCCGGTCCAGCGCCCCCGCGCCGCGCTAGAGCCAGCAGACTGATTCCGCACAGTGCGGAGGGGCCCACCCGCATCACTCTGTCTCTCTCGCACTCATGGGTACTGTCGGTTGGCGGGGCCCCTCCGCACTGTGCGGAATCAGTCTGCTGGGAAGGAGGCAGAGGCACCAAGGGGGGGCGAGGACGAGGGGGCTGCGAAACCCCAACCCCCCTCCGCGCTCTGCCCCCTCTGCTCTGCCGGGGCAGGGGCAGGTCTAGGACCCCGAGGTTGGTCGAGAGAGTGGGCGTGGCGCCGCGGCGGGGAGCCTGCCCAGCCTGCCGAACGGGCCAACGGGCCTGGGACTTACCTCTGGCCATCCCGGGAGCACCTAGGGAGCGGAAGGGGGGGGGGGGGCATCAGCATTGACCTCATGCGGGCAAAAAGCATCGCCCACACCCTGGGGCCCTGGGGCGAAACCCTGCCGGACCAGCATGCTGCAGCAGCGCCCGCGTCCGATTTCGCACGCAAGTTCTTCTTCACCTGTGGCGTATGCGGGCGGGCGTGGCGCAGGGCGGCAGCGGCAGGAAGCATTGTGGTGGAAATCTCGAGGACGGGATTCATTTTCGCAGCTCCGAGGCAGAGGAGTGAAATCAAGGCGATATTTCACCCTCGCTGCTTTTAATCTGCTGATTCGCTACCCAACCCACACGCCTGCTTGGCACGGCGCCCTGCAGGGCAGCCCTGCCAGCCTGTCGCGGGGCGGGGAGGGTGCAGATAGGCCCGCCGGATCCAGGGACAGATGCGGGGAGGGGGTGGGGGGTGAAAAAACGCACGCGGGCAGAGCAGAGATGGGGCCAAGCGGAGTGGCAGGGTGGAGTGCTTGATAACCGTGTTATCCGCTCGTGTGCCTTGTTTATTTTGTTGGTCCTCGCTTCGCGCCTTCTGCCTCCCCCCCCCCTTCCCCCGCGCCCGGGGAGTTAGCGCAGCCTGCGCCCTGCGCCAGCCGGCCGATTCCGAACATCTCTTTGGTGGCTCTGTCTCTCTCCGTCGCTTTCACACTCACGCAACGCGCAGCAACGCGCCATGAGTGCGAGAGAGACAGACGGCACGCGGTCCAGCGCCCTGCCCTCTCCAAGTTACCTGCACCGTTTTACCCTTCCTCTCACTCGGGCGCTGCCGTCCCGGACAACACCTCGCCGGGGTGGCCAGTCGGTTGATTCCGAACTGTGCTTTCGCCCCCCCCCCTCTCTCTCTCTCTCTCTCTCTCTCTCTCTCTCTCTCTCTCTCTCTCTCTCTCTCTCTCTCTCTCTCTCTCTCTCTCTCTCTCTCTCTCTCTCTCTCTCTCTCTCTCTCTCTCTCTCTCTCTCTCACATTCTCGGGGCGTTCCGTAGGGGTGCAAGAGAGACAGAGTGGCGAGGTGGACGAGGTCCCCAGTTGGCAAGGACCGCGCGGACAATGGGCGGCGAAGGCGAACACAACTCGATCACAACAACATCGCCCTTTCTTCGGCCTTCGGCGCAGAGCTCACGTCGTCTGCTAGGTGGACCGTTGCCTCGAGTCCTTCCCCGCCAACAAATCCCCCCCCCTCCCCCCCCCTCCTCGGCGCGGCGTGTAGTCGCTTGTCGCCGCTTTGTCCGGCGAGTCCGGCAGCGGGGGCGGCACACTGTTAAGGCGGCAGGGCGTTGGACGGGGAGGACGCGCGGCAGGGCGTTGGACGGGGAGGACGCGCGACACGCCGCCGAACAGGCGGAGCGGTGGAGCAGCCGGACTACAACATGATTGCGGTGACGGCGGGCTGGCGGGGCTGGCGGGGCTTTGGGCTGGATCAAGCGGAGGGGCGGGGGAAGGTGATTCCTGTTTCGGGAAGTGCATTGGCGTGTCCGCGCTGCCGCGCTGCCGCCCTGCCGGCCGGGACGCGAGGCTATGGGCGAGCGGAGGAGCTATTCTCGCTCACTGCTAGACTGGTGCTCTGGTACAACAGCTGTTCCTTGTCCTCTCCATCTTGCCTCCGTCCCCGCCGGTCGCAGCTTCCCTGTCGCTTGCGGCTGGTCGGGCTCGTCACCACCATCGCCTCCAAGTGCCTCGCTGCCTCGCGGGGCAAGAAGAGGTCCTACCGTTCTCTTTCCGAACCCACGACGCACACGCTACACACCCAGGCCGGATACACGGTGACGCACTGAGCAAAATGAATTCCGAATCCGAGAGTGATGCTCTCGGAATATCTAAAAGCATTTCATCAATGTGATATGCATGCTCTCGGATTCATTTGAACTCATTTGAATAGGCAACCCTGTCGACCCCGCGGCTTTGCCCACCCTTGTCCCTGTCGCCGCGCCGAGGCTCGAGAAACACAAGTCTAAAGCCTGGCGCCTGGCCCAGCTAAATCTACCTCTTTACACCAGCAAAGTCGCGAGTACAGTCTAGGCAGCTTAGGGTTGGCAATATTTATTTTACTTGGATGAGAACGCGGCGGGCGTTCGTTGACTCTGACTCTCATCCCCTACTGACACCCTTCCTGCTGGAGCTTGCCCAGCCGCCGCAGCCCCTGCCGCCCTGCCGCCGTGCCCCTCGGGGTGCGGCCGCGTCGTCCCCTGCGCCCTGCGCCCCCCTGGCCGACCCAAAGCCCATCCCCGCCCCCACGGCCCCCGCCCCCTGCCCCCCAGCCCCCTCGCAGGCATCGCAGGCAGGCCGGGGTGGCCGGGCCGGGTCCTCGCTCCGGCCGCCGCTGCCGCACGGCTCAGTGTTGTTGTGGAAGCCCCGGCGAACGCCAGCGAACGCCAGCGAACGCACCGCGCAAGGCCCAGCCAGCCCCCAGTGCGAGAGAGCAGCCTTGCCGCCCAGCCGTCACCGCCACCCACACCCCGCGCCCACCACCGCGCCGCGCCGCGCCGCCCCTAGCGCACGGCCGCGAGTCTCGTTTTGGCGGGAAAGCCAGCCGGTGCCGCCGCCCCGCCCCGCGCCACGCCCTACCGCACCCCGCGGCACCCCGCCCTCCCGGCGAGCCGCGAACCGCGAACCGCGTGGGCGTGCTAGTCCCTGAGCGCGGCCTGCCCCCAGCGGGGTAATCCGGCACCGTGCCGCTGTTCAAGAAGAAGGACATGGACAACACCGTGTCCCCCATGCCTCTGCCCGAGATGGCGCCCATGGCCGAGTTCGACAAGACGCCGCCGACGCCGCCCGAGGAGGAGCCGCCGCCAGGGGACCTGCCGCCGCCGCCCAGCGCGGACCTCGCCGAGAAGGGCAAGAAGTGAGTGGCCGTGCTGTGCGTGCAGCGAGTTCGACGTTCGACGGCGAGCCGCCGCGCCGATCAAAATGGCGGCGACGCTCCGCGCCATCCGCGCCTTGCGCCTGGCCGCCAGGCCGGCCGAGCGCACTCACGTGAGTGCCGAGCAGCCGTTTCGTCTCTCTGTCTCTCTCGCGGCCCGACGCAACGGACGCAGCGCCGCACGCACCATGGGTGCGACAGAGACAGCGACGAAACGGCTCCTCGGAGTCAGCCTGCAGGATGGCGGCCCGAGGCGCCGAGGGCCGAAACCGTTCATCTTTCCTGGACAAAGGGTGCCGGCCAACAAGGAAGGGCGCGCCGCTCGCCGCGTCCCCAGTCCCTTCCGGCGCGCCCTTGCCGCCTCTCTGTGCGTGACTGCGTGTATGCCTCCCCATTTAATTTTCCCGCCTCCACACTCCTTTTTGCGGTGTGGCCGCGCTCCTGTCCGTCGCCACCGAGCGCTGCAAGAGCCCCGCGGTGGTGTCCGGGACAGCTCCACGGGCCGCCCGACGGGACAAGCAGGCTTCCGCAATCCGCACAGCGTTTCGTCGCTCTGTCTTCCCTTCGCCCATACGGAACGCCTTATGAGTGCGAGAGAGACAGAGCGACTACAGCGATGATCGGAATGGGTCGGCAGGGCGCCCAGGGCCACCAGGGAGGGCCCAGCTTGCCGTCGAAGGACAGGACTGACTGTCCCGGGGACGCGGGGACATGCCACGCCCGAGCGGAGCGGGCCGGCGGGGCGGGTTCAGAGGGCAAAGCAGTGGCGGCGGAGAGTCGTGTCGCCGCTCTGTTTCTGTCGCACCCGTGGGGCATCGCTTGGCGGTGCGAGAGAGACAGCGACGAAATAGTGACTCTTCGGAATCGCTTTACAGGGGATTACACGCCGGGGCATGGCCGAGGGCTGAGGGGGGTAGGGGGCTGAGGGGCTCCACCGGACGTCCCGTCCCGTCCCGCCAAGTCGTCGAGTCGCAGCCCCGGCCCAGTCCGCCTCAAAGGCTGACGGCGATGGCTGCGCCCTGGCTGCGAGATGCTTATGGGCTCGCTCCTCCAATATTTGATAATCCTGCTAATGGCCCGCTCACTCCGCACTCCGCTTCTCTTGTGTTCGGAGAGCGCTGCGGCTTGCGGCCGGGCCGATTTATTGTTCTCCTACGCCTTCAAGCCCCCCGCCCCCTCCCACAGCATCCCGCTGCAAATACGGTCGCCCGGTCAATCCTCTCGCCTTGAGTGTGTGTGTGAGAGAGAGGGTGTGTGTGCGTGTGTGTGCGCGCGCGCTTTGGTCCGCACAAAAGCAAGTCCTCGCAGACTTGGCAAGGGTCTCTGCGAGCAGCCACGGAAGGGCGGGGCATGCAGCGGCTGAAGGGAGGCTGGCTCTGGCTGTGCGGCCTGGCAGGCAGGCAGCCAGGCAGACAGCCAGCCTCGGGGCAGGGGGCAACCCCAGCCGCAGCCCCGGACAGCCTGTTTTCCGGGCCGCCGGGGCGTGGGCCCTTACTGCAGGCCGTGGAGGGCCTCGTTATGCAGCCGAGTGCAGCGAGCACAGCCAGCACAGCACAGCACTCCACCGTTTGCTGTTCGTCGC